CAAGGTAGAGAATAGGGAAAAAAGAAACATAAGAATGAAATAGGAGAAATTCAGTTTCATCGATAAACATTTTCATTCATGAGATTCAGGCTCAACTATTTTTTTTATTCTCATTAGTTTTATTTTCAAATTCCTCCCTGGTGAATATGAAAATAGAAGGGAAAATCAAACTTATTCAAATTCCAATGAGAATGAAAATTCTGGTTGTTGTTTTCTTTTCACCATAGTTTATATTCAATTCATTGATATTTAAAAATCTATACATCATCATGTATAAATTCTGGTGGTGGGCTGAAGGTTATCATATGAACTTTACCCTGATGACGTCTTTAAACATGATATCATAAATTAAATTGTTATTGATAAATTTCAGAGGTAAGAGTTAAGAAAGATGAAGGAAACAAAGAGTAAAATCTTTCAAGATAATCAAGTTAATCTTTTGATGTAATGATGAAAATAAATCAACTGGATGAAAATGTTACAATCGGTTATCCTGTTGATTTGAATTAATGGAGATGAATGTCAATCTCTTAGATATAAATGAATGAACTCAAGCTAATCCAGTAGAAATGGATCATCCCACAAATACACTAATCTCTATGAGAAAAGTCAATTAATGGTTAGTGGTTAAGGTAAAGTCAGAATCATTTTCAGGGTGAAAAATATCGGAAATCGAATATGGAATTTCTCCCTTTTTCTCTCTGCCTTTTGTTAGATAAAAACAGAGTTTTTTCTTGAACATTATCATGAGAGAAAAAGGCAACTGATTAGTATTGAAGAGAAATGATTATCAGATTATTGATATTCTCTGATAAAAACATGATGAATACTCAATAGGAAAGGGAAACAGAATTAAGGTCACAAGATCATGATCATCAACAAGGAAAATAAAGTTAGATAACATCAGAATGTCTTAAATTATGTTTACTGTTTCTCTCTCTCTCTCTCTTTTTATCTTCATCATCCTTTTCATCCAATCATTTTCTTCACTTTGTCATAATCACTATCTTCATCATCATCAAAGTATTTTTCTTAATTTTTTCTTCTTCTTCTTTTCTTATTCTTTTACTTCATTTGTCATACCTTCATCTCACTTTGTGACCACCATCACCATTATCATCAACTTCACACAGACTCAATTGAAAAATAGCCACTCGAACCAGGTTTTCGTCATCATCACCATTATGTTTATCATCATTATCATCATCTAATGAGCCTCGATTAAACTGCTCAAGTCAGGATAACAACTGAATCCTACTGAACTTTTTCTCTCTCCCCTGAATAAGACTCACAGTTTATTGTTATAATAACAAACTGGTTTTCGCTGGTTCAGTCACATAACATTTACTGTTATCTATCACCCGCATTGTCTTAGCACGAATAAACAAAGACTCACTCACCAGCTCTCTCTCTTTCTCTCTATTGAGAGCATATCCTTTTCTAATTAGATAATAAACTTCCCTGTCTTATAATATCATATCCGAGATATTATAAGCTCACTTAGGATAATAGTCGGATAATGGATGAAAATACTAATGGTGATGAGGATGAACATGATAGTTTTATGTTTCAATTTTCATCCTTCCAACTCTTTACACAATCTGAACAAATTCAAATGATGAATTTAATAAGTTCTCATAGTTTTATATCTCTGAAATTTCAACAGATATTGGAAGTATTAAGAAGAGGAAAATTATTTTCACCATGAAAGGTTACAAATAATCTAAGGTAATAATAAGATTCACTCATCACCGGCATCTCCAAAGTTTCCAGCACTCTTTCATTGCAATTTGAATACATTGAAAAAAAAGTTCTGTTATTGTCATCATTTGATAGAGAAAAACAATTTGCAAATATGAGCATCATAATGATAGAGTGTAACTTGGATTATGAGAAATAAATTCAACGTAAATATCACTTGAAGAATTTGAAATATTTCAATGATGGATAATGATTATTATTATCATAATCATAATCAATTTTTGGAGTAAAAGTTGAATTATCAAAACATGAGTGAAAAAGATGATGAAATCTTCAGATCTGAGTGGTAACGATTTAATGTAATCATGTTAAGGCTTTGAAAGTGCCAATCAATTAAAATGAAGGTAAAATGATTATGATTTTTGTTAGAAGGAAATTTTTTCCTGTAGAATATTTTTCAGGGAGTGAATTTTCATGATAAACTAAACCAATGGAAATAAATCACATAGAACAAGTTTTTTTTTTTCATCAACTTGAAAATATAGTTTAGTTGTTACTAATAATCTCAAGGTAATTTATTTAAACAGTGATTATATCAAGTGAGGAGAGAGAGAGAGTAACGATGAGGATATGGATAAAGATGATGATAGAGGAAGCGAGTGAGTTTATTTTGTGTTTTAAATGAGCCAAGAAAAGTTTATAACCATGAGGCTTTTGTTGAATTATGAATTGAAGTTAAGCTTTTTCAAGGGAAAATTTGAGCTTCCAGTTTCAAAAGAATCAAGTTAAATTGGAAAATTTTTAGGTGCATGGGGTGAGTTCGTATACATGTACATGTATATGCCAAGGTGAGGTCCAAATGGATAGTGGAAATCAAAAGAGAGAGACAGAGGTAGTGAGAGTAAAGGTAAAACAATAGGAAAAAGCGAAAGACTCATAGGAATAGGATAGAAAATATAAAGAATCATTGAGATTCTGGAAAATGATGATGATAGAAACTGAAAATCGATTGAATGAGTAAAAAAGTATCTAAGAAGATTCTTGATGCATTAATGTTCTTACAATGAGTTTTACTTTCTTTTTTCCTTTCTATTTCAGCCTCTGGTAGGGTGAATTCATGAGAGTATGTTGTTGTTGTTGTTGTTGGTAGTGGTGACGGTGTAGACTATTTAAAACGCATCATTAGTTCTGGTCACAGGGATAAAACTCAGGAACATCAGCATCAATGTACATGGAAAAATATACTTAGCCTTTAGGTTTATTTTGTTTTCTTCTGTTATTTTGTTTTCCTTTTCCTCTCTCATCCCTAATCATTTCAGGTAAATGATGTTTCTGTTGTGTGTGTTTACCTTGTACCAGATTAATAACTTATTAGACTGAAAATCTATGGTCATCATTAATATGATGGAAAACAAAATGTAGCATAATTGTAATAATAACAATGATTTAGATGCAATAGTGATTATAATGGTTAATGGTGAATACTTGATACAAATCATCTTTGTGTTACAACTAATAACATGTTTGTTATTAATTGTAATGGAAAATTATTTCATCGATTATGACAATTCAATGCTATTAACTAATAGTAGTTTTTGATTAATCTATTTGGATAATTTTTTTGGATGAAAGTTGAATTCGAGCCTGAATTTGTATCAAAATCAATAAACCATTAAGGTGAAAACATTTTAAAAACTGTAAGTATTGATTGATTTGCATTGATTTTGCAGCTCTCAATTAAATAGTTAAAACTAAATTGTTCTCAATTAAAGATAATCAATCTTGTTAAATGAATTACAAAGATTTTACTCTTGGTTGATTTTATTCTGGTGCATCGAGAGAGAAAGAGAGAAAGAGGCAAAAAAATCTGGATCTAGTGTAACTAACATACCCTAAGGGTGAATGAAATCAATTTCAAATTGTTGTATGATAAAATAACATATTAAACCTTTGGTATGATAATAAATCATACCAATACAATGTTTAACATGCAAAAAATTGTTGATTAATAAATTTTAGTTTATCAGGAACTTATAAGGTACCATGAGGTTTGGAAATCTGGTTAACAATCTGAAGATGTCTGAAGTTTACATGAAATTTTAATAAGAATCATTAATATTAAAACCTGATAAAAAGTTTTCTATTGTTTATACAATTGATGATACGATAAGTATTTTCATCGATAAGAGTGGGTGAGAAATGAGAGAGAAAGAGAGAGAGAGAGAGATTAAAGTGGGAGTTGATTGGATTGGGTTGAGAGAACCAGAAAAAAAGTTGTTACTTTGTTGCAATTTCGGGTACAGGGAATGCATAATAGATAATCAATCTGATTGCTATTTCAACTTAATCCAACGTATTTAGCTAATGTACCATGTGTGAGAATGAGTGAGAATAGAATGTGAATGAAATTCAGATAGAGAGAGATTGTGAAGGAAAAAGAGGAGGAGGAGAAAAAGAGGTAAATAGAACAGAATTTGTTTACATGGAAATTAATTCAATGATTCAACGTTGATTACCTTGCGGGTTAATTAAATTTAATTTTTGATTGATACGAAAAGTTTAGCAATTAGTTTAACTATTACATGTAGCAAGTTGGAAAATTAATCAATGTTTAAAAGTTGATTATAAATGATGAAAGTTAATCTAGTGAATAGTAGTAACTTTAATCTTTGATATAAGAAGATACTAATGTCCACATGGGTTAGAGGTAAGAAAGTGAAAGGACATGTCAAGGTAAATCAGATAATTTTGATTGGTAAATGTAACTTATTTCATCATGATAAATATGATTGACTGAAATAAATGTTCAATCAAGTTCACTGGGTTAGCTCATGGGAAAAATAATAATGTATCAAGAGAAAGTAAAAATATCAGGTTGTCATCTTATCTCATAATATCAAGGTTAATACATTGATGATTACAATTGATTGCCAGTTGATTGCAACTCATTTGTTTCATTTCATTGATTTCATGATGGTCAATGATTGTTTACTGTTAACGCATCTTCGAGTCACATTGCGCTGAATACCCAATGAATATAATCAAATTTTCATTAACATCATATTATTTACTCGAGTGAACTTTTTATTCACGTCAATTAATGATAAATAATCAAAGTTATTACAATTGGAAAAATAAAATTGGACAATAGTTCAAGTATCATCCTTTCAATCAAATTCAATGGACTTTAACATTAGACCAACTCAACTAACAATTACTATTATTTTAACTACTATTATTGTTATTGGGATACTATTTAATGAAATGTCAAGAGAGATTCAAGTAAATTATTCACTTACCATAAAGATCCGCTGTGGCAATGTTTAAAACCAAAGATTTCTGAATTAAATCCACAATTATTAAACCATTTTCACTACCATAAGCGATTCTGTTGAGAAATAATTAATAATATTGTTGATTAGGTGAAAAATAAGATAGGAAAGGGTTGTGATAAATGTACAACTTACAGAGAGTAGGAAGAGTTAACAGCAAGAGAGGTTATTTTAAAGGGAGGAGTGTTATCGTCGATCCATGGGGTAAGGCACACCAATTCTGGTTGAAATCCGGGGACTCGTTTGTGCTGACCTGACCTGACCAGTAAGGGATAGAATGTATTTCTAGTTGAGTTACCATCGTCACCAGATCCTTGAGGTCGGAGTAATCCACCGATTCCTTGAGTAGTTTCAGGATCACCAGATTCATCATGAGCGTTAGACGATTCATAATTCATTATCACTTCAATAACCTAATAATATATGGAAATAAAATTGAATTTAATTAACAAACAAAAAAATTCACTTATTGTTGTAGTGAATAAAGTTAAATTATAAGTTTACCGGTGTATCTGAATGAGCCTCTTGTTTATTGAATTTAAAAATCATAATATGGGAACTTGCCCCAGCCACACAAAGTAAACGACTTTCAGGACAAAATTTGATCTGATCGATTGCAAATGGATCATCAGGTGATTCGGTTGATTCATTTGCTGATGAATTTTCATTGGGTCGATTTCTGGGTTTCTGGAACAATTTGGAAGTTTTCATTTTATAAAGAATGTGCAAATTAACTGTAAAAGAAAAAAGCAAAACAAGATGAGAATAAACAAATTATCATAATTTGTTCAGATTCTTTTTTACCTGAAGATGTATCCCAGAATTTAACGGTTCCATCAGCATGCCTATAAGAGAGAGAGAGAGAGAGAGAGAAAGAGAAATTCTACATGAGAATTTGTGTAACCATATGAATACCTCCATTCTCCATCACCTCAATATATTCCCTCTCTATTATCATCACTGAATTTATCTAATAATATCTATCTAAACATAATTAGTGATACATATCTGGTTCTAGTGAAAAAAGTAGAGTTTGCCTTTTGTTTCCTATTGCAATATCATTGTTATTCATTATTATAATAAGTTGTAATAGTATTATGACTTTAATAATAGTTTTCGAAATGATGATGATCGTAACAATGTCAATTTGCTGTCATTATTGTTATTTTCCGAGTGAGTTGGTCATGTTTTTTTTATCCACAAGGATGAACAAATGATGAGGATTGAAATGAATGAATGAATGAATAGGTAAAATGAATATTGAGGTTTGGGTTTGTATGTTATTTATAATATTATTCTTGGTAATAATATTATTATTGTTTAGGATGAACCCAATGGTTATATTTTATGTTAAATATTCATTACTCACCCTGTAATTATTATTTCCGGGTAACTTGGTGTTGCTGTTCCCCATTCGCCACCGTTAATTGGCCATTCTTTTTCTGAGATTCCTGGTCTTTTTGGGTTTGTTTTAAAACCAACTGAATAAAAGGCGGGTATCAGGTCCGTTGGGCAATCAGCGAAATAAGCGCAAAAGGTTATGGGTGACTCATGAAGATCCATTGTATATGGATTACGGAAACACGGGTAACCTGGACTGGTAAGGTCAACAACGACCAGATCATTTGAGAGGAGAACTAGGATAGCATAGGGATCACTTGGTTCAGCGGGACATGTTCCCGTTGATAGAGTAATAAAATCGACAATATTATGCTCCATTTCAAGGACTGTAGTTGTCTTACCATGAATAACTGTAAGACTTTGAGTACCACTGGTCATTGAATCAGATGATTTATTTGATTCTACTTTAATTCGTGACTCAGATCCAGAATCAGATGAGGTTGAACCAGAAGATGCTGATATTAGAATATTTTCTCTACTATTGGCTGTGGATGAGGTGGTTGTTACTGGTGGGGTTGATGCGGATGCTGTTGGTACATTTGTTGAGGATTTAACATCCGCCAAGGAACTAAATGGTAATCCACCGGAGAAAATGATAAATGAATCAGCATCTCTAACGGTTTTCCATTCAACCTTATAAATTGGTCGACATGGTTCAGGTTTCAATTCTTTGGTAACTTGCTTGGCATGAGGCAGTGTCACCGAAACGGGTCGAGGTGCTCTAACATTCCAAGTTGTTATCGAACCATCAGTGTGACTGCAAAGATATTGACGTCCCTCATTGTGCCAGGAAATACTTCTCAATGGTTCAGTATAATTAACCCGAGAATCAGCTGATTTTGAACGTAAATCCCAAAGAACAATAGTTCCAGATTCATAGCCGATCAACAATTTACTTGGATCAATTGGGCAGTCGGAAAGGTGTATCACGGATCCAGGATGAGTTTTTCGAGATAATTCAATTGCTTTATTCCAGTTAATAACATAACCAGATAATTGAAAAGAATCTATGTTAACAATATGTACATTTCCTCTTTCCGTGCCAACGTATAACCATTTCGAGGAATAGGGTAAATGGGCATAGGTGATCCGTTCTTTTTGAAATTTAAGAATATTAACTATCGATGGGGTTTTCGTTTTAATTGACCACAAGTGAATTGAATCATCGGCACAAAGAGTAATCAAATTACCCTCATTAACTAGAAAAATTATCTGGATAACAGCAAATTGTCCAATATGTTGAACATTTATATCAACTCCTGGTCGACCAATTATTCTTAAACAACCATTACGAGTACCGATGGCAATTAGCCGTTGAATAGGATCAAAGGCAACGCAAGTTGGATTATGAGGAAAACCATGTCGTACAATCTAGAAGATAATTAATAAAGAAAAAAGAAAATCATAATTAAATCAAATGAATTGGAAACAAATAGACATAATTACAAATCAATTTAGGTGGTAATATGAGGAGAAACAATTGAAATTGATTTAATTATATTCGGATAAATAGATAAACTAAAAAGTATATACAGAGTGTGTGTGTATATACTTTAATTATATGGTTTATAATTGAATGACAATTGGAGTTACCATTTGGTTGACCAAAATAACATTAACTTTGGTTGACAATAATAATAGTGGATAATTATAATTTGCAACAATCAATAACCATTACTCTGATTTAATTTGCAATTGCAACTCGGATTACATTTACTATTACAATTAGTAATTGGAGATATAAACACACACTCAAATAAACAACCTGTAAACAGCTGGTCCAATCTAATCAACCATATTAATCAAACAATTTAATATTAATATAAATGTGTCTCTAATGAGTGTATATAAATTATATGATATTTGTTGGTTTGTTTGTTGTATTATATGTTTGATAGTTGGGTTAATATGGATTATTTTTGTATTTATATTAAATTGATTGATTTTCTTACCTCACTAAGGAGAAAATGTTCCGATTTTAAATTATCCTCATAATCAGCTAATGGAGAATCAGATTTGGAGGTTGATTTAGAGTCATCACGAGATGAATGATGAGTTGATCCTGATTGTGATCCTAATGATGATGATGAGTATCTCCAATTGTCTAACATACCCCGAAAGAATCCTCCTCTTTTCATCTTATCCATTTCTTATTAATATTGTTGTTGTTGTTGGTGATGGTGGTGATTTTTAACACATAAACTGGATTAAGTTGATTGTTGAGGTGTAATAATATTATTATTAATCCAATAATGGTCTATAAAACAAACAAATTACACACAAAATGATTAAAACCACACTGGAATTTACATAGAAAATTGAAACCAATCCATAGAATCTAATCACAATAAGGAACCATTTTATTCACCATGGAGATTAACAGATTACACCAAAGGTTCCTGAATGTAATATATATTCTGGAAAATATTTATGCTGAAAGAGAACGAGATAGAAATAAAAGAGAGAATGAGATTATATTATTTCCTTTAACATAAATCCATGAGATTGAGAAGAAAGATTGAAATTCTATTGAGAGAATAATTATAAGGAGAGAAAAAAATTAATTTCGATCACATTTGAGACAAATACACTTTTCTCTCTCTCTCTCTTTCTTTCTCTCTCTCTCTCTCTCTCTACCCTTTTAGGCTTAGAGATTTAATACCCAAAGCAAAATTGTGAATATAATTTAAATTGATCACAATTTGTGAGATCAATCTAATTGGTATTGGATTAACGGTTTAACTACACTAATATTTGAATGATGGTAAGGAACACAATTAACGAAAGACACTCAAACTCCCCTTTTACCAATAAAAATATGGATCCAAAATTACACAATAGGAAACAAATGTCAATTGGTTAATAATCAAAACTAATATTCATTTTGATTGGATTATCGTTATTGTCTTGATAACTGATGACAATTTTCAATGATAATGACGAGATGACGATGGCGAAGATGATGATTTAGGTGTAGAGAGAGAGAGAGAATAAGAGTGAAAGTAGAAATGATTACTTTCTCTCTAAAAATGTTATCTCATCAATTCTGTTGAAAAAAAACAAGATGGTAAAAGTAACAAGCTGATTTTTTTTGTTCTCTCTCAATTCTCAAGGTATTTTTCTTCTGATAATTTGTTCTTTTTTCTCTTCGTAACTTACTTGTATTCGTTGATTAAGTATTTATCTAGATTGAGGTGATTCTCTATTGTTATTGTTGTTGTTGTCTCTCCTTGTTGTTGTGGTGATTGTTGATTCCAATGTTTAATATTAACTAAAATACACCATTCAAATGATATCAATGAAGAAAAAAGAGAAACATAGTCTCGTTTTGATTTGTTCTTTTCTCCATTTTTGTGGAACAATTAAAAGCTAGAAGAAGGAGAAAAATGACCAACTCTCTGTCAGAAGAAAGTCACTTATGTTGGACACTCAACACAGACACAATGAAAGATTCAAACAAAATTCAATGAGAAGAAAAAATTTTTTTTTTCTCTTTCTAATCACATTAATACTTGATTCCAATTGGAAACACTGGGGGAGAAAATTACTACACTTATACAACAATGGATCAATTTTAATTGTTTGATGATAAAAAGAGGTGATGATCAATTGGGAGAAGAAACCATTAACCATATGAGAGAGAAAAAGAGAGAGAAAATATTAAAAAAACAACCAACACAGAAAAATATCTAATCACTTTTCTCATCAAAATCTCAGAACAAAATGAAAGAGAAACAGATTAATTCTCTTACCCCCCAACGCCACCTACAAAAGAATAAAAAAATGTTCTTTTTCATCTCTTACGTAATCCAAGAGATGGCGATAGTTACATAGCTACGAATTTAATTGTTGGTTCATTTCCATTTTCAAAGTTAATTCGCATTTTTTTAATCCACTTCAAAATCTAAATTGATTGCAGGTTTGATTCTCTTTAATTATTGAGAAAAAGTAAACCAACAATTTGATTAACTGAGTTTCTTTCCGATACAAATGGAAGAGAAAAATCAAATCGAATTTAGTTCGTATTAATCTCGCTAGATGGCAGTTTGCTCGCCGGGAATTTTTCGTTAATTAATTAAAATTGAATTTTAGTTAATTTGATTATCATTTGATTGGAGTGGATTTATACTTGGATTGTATTAATTGGCATGAAGGATTTACTTAAAAGTTCATGGAGGGTTTTAAATGAGAAAGAGAATTGAAATCAAATTGGAAAAGAAGAAAAAAAAAAGTTTTTCGATTTGATCAATTTTCGTGGTAACAATTAGTTGATTGGAATTTAGAAGTTTGTTTCGATTTTTTTTCTCAACTTTTCCATTGTAATTAAGAAATCAATGTGAGTTTAGAATAATTTAAATTGACTATTGAATTTAAATGAATTTGGGTTGGAAAAAAAGAGAGAGAGAGAGAGAAAAAATTAATCCAAATGAATAATTAATTACGTTGAAATTAAATTATTTGAATAAATGATTAGTTATGTTAATCAATTGTTGAAAATCAAATTATCAATATCAATGAAAATCCCTAAAGGTCAGTAGTCCTTTTTTTGGGGTCAATATTTAATTTAGTTGGCATCACAATTAAGGAGGAGGGACAATCAAGGTAAACAAGTAATAATAAAAAGTTGGGTCAACATTTTTTTTTGGAAACAAATAAATAACTAAATTATTAATCATAATCATCATCCTAATGATAACAATTTATATTCAAAACAATTTAGCTACGATTTATATAAAATATATACTTATACAATTAGATTACTTAAAGTAATTAAAGTTTGAACATGTTTTGTTTTTCAAGAGTAAACAATTTTAAATGTTTACAAATTTTTAAATTGTTTACAATCAACTGATTGTTAATGTTGACTGATTACTATTTTTTTCACAATTATTATAATATTAATAACTGTTAACTCTTATCATTATTATAATTGTTGAGTGTTTTTAATCATGATGAACAATTTACAGTTGTAAATGAACGGTCAACATGATTCAATGATCATGATTTAGTTAATTTAGTTCAAATTGTTAACTGGTCAATCTTAACCAGACAATTTAACCGGATTTGATTGATTGATTGTTTGAATTTTTCTCTCTCTCTCTAAATTATAATTTATTGATTATTTGTATTATTAGTTGATTTTCAATGTTCGCATTTAACTTGATTGGTTAATTGTCTGAATTTAATTGTTGTTGGAAAAATTTGGAAACAAAAGTTAATTGTTATTTATGTGAATTCACACCAACACTTGATATTATTTTCATTAAATTGTTTCCAATCAAATTGATTAACAACTAAGATTTCTAGCAGTTTAATATGAAAATTTAGTTAATTGTTTCAATCTTTTCAGTTAATTTTGAAATTCAATTCTTTCAATGGTTAATTATCACAATCAAAGTTCACTAATTGTGATGTTGAATCATTTAATTTACTTGATGACTTAATTGTTACCTAATTTTTGGTGTTAATTTAGTTTTTAGTTTTAATTTATTTCAAGTAAATTAAACTTGATTGTGATTCTAATTAATTTTTCACTTCCAATTTTGTTTTGTTTCTGATAATTAAACGAAAGTTTTTTTGATTAATTTTATGTTAATTGTAGATAAATTAGTTGATTAAGTTTAATTTTCTTTCTCTCTCCTTCTCTCTATTCAATTTAATTGTAAATGGTCACAATAAAATCAATCAGAATTAAAATTTAGATTATTGGGCCAAGTTCATGTTCAGTCTGATTATCAATAAATTAATTGTTGATCAACAATTTACTAAATCATTTGATTTAAGAAGCAAAAGAAAAATCAAAATAAAACCAAGTTAATAATAAACTTGATTCTAAATTGAATTAATTTTCACAATCAAATTGAAAAAATTCACCATAATTGTTACAATTAAAGGTCATTTTCACCTTAATTGTTACACTTAATCATTAACAATTAGATCAGAATAAAAGAAATGTTATTGATTTAAAAATTAGTCTTTAAATCCTGAATGAGATGTTAAATCATTAGCTAATTATAAATTTGCAATGAAAAAGTTAATTGCTGTAAATGTAAACAATCAATTTACCAAAAGTAATTTAAAAAAATTAATTAATTAATCGTTGGTATGGTAATTTTGAAACTCGCGGTTAAAATTGAGCATTTTGATTGGAGGAACAAAATTAGCGCAAATTTTAAAATTAGTCTAACGAAACGATTTTTTCACAATTAACCAACTAATTTAATCAATTGAATATAATTAAGTCAATTTTTTTTAAAAAAAAAAGGTGAGTCAAAGTTACTTTCAGTAGCTGAAGGTAAAGAAAATAGATTGACCTTGATTGTTTCACGATTCAGGTCTTATCATGTTGGTAAATCTGAATAACTGTAGTTAAATTGTTGATAATAATGTTTATTATCTTATCAATAATGATTAGTATTATTAACTTTGATTTTGGGTTGGGTGGTTAAGTAATTAATAAATTAGTGGAAAAGAAAGAGAGAGAAAATTTCGAGAAACAATAACAATTAGAATTGATTGTAATGCAAAAGAGACATTAGAGTGAAAATATTGCTCTAAATTAAATTTCATCTTTTCTGAAACAAGGAAAATCAATTGATGAAGATAATTGTTTCCATGATGATGAGAATTAAAAATAATTGTGCTGACGATGACAATGAGAATGATTAGATTGACGACAAAAAGAAAATAAAGAAAAAAAAATCTAATTTCTTGAAGAATATTTTTTCTTTCTCTTGTAAAAGAGAATCAGAATAAATCAGAATTTCTTTTTTCTTTTCGTTTCTTCCAATTTCTCTTAATATTCTCATCATCATCATCACCATCATCAAGTACCTTCCTTCATGATGCTCATCATTTTTACGATAAGATGAAGAATCAATCGCAAGGAATCAGCACAACAGGAGGTTATAGACCGGAGGCCATCATCGATTGATTTAGGTTCTAACGAAGGGCTCAAACGGGTTCCATGAAATGGCCGCAAGACAACATAACATTTTAGAGAAAGAAAGAAAGAAAGAGACGAAGAAGATGAAGAAGATGAAGAAGAAGAAAAAAATGCAATGATAAAGAAAGAGTTACGGTGAAAAAGAAAGAGAGAAAGAGATGATGATGAGGTAGAGAAAAAAGTTGAAGGAACATGAAGATAAGTATGTGTCTGTCCGTAAGAATTTTTGACTTCCTCCGCCTTCAGGCCATTTATATTTCCACCTTAAAGAAGTAGAAAATTAGACAGAGAAGAAACTTATTCGATAGAGTAAAAAAAGACAGACAAGATAACCGAAAGAAAGAAAAGAAAGAGAAGAAAACAAGTTACTAGTTCCTCTTGTTTTTGGCATTTGGGGAAAGAGGAGAAAGAGAAGAAAGAAAGAGAGAAAGAGGAACCATCACTAGGTAGGAAGATGAAGGGAGGGATTTTGAACAGGTAAGAGAGAGAGAGAGAGAGAGAAAGAGGAAGACAAGGTGAGAGAGAGAGAGAGAGAGAGAGAGATGAAGTTCTTTAGGAAAAGTAGCCAACTCGGCAAAAGTTATTGAGACTAATAAGTTTAGTGTCAATTAGAGACTTTGGAAAACATTTACTTCTAATTGTTGAATTAACTAATTTTCGTCTTAATCATCACCATAGATGTGCCTTTATCTTAATTGTCTTTGTTAATTAACTCATAGGAAGAGGAAGTAGAACAGTTAATTTGTCTTTTTCTTTCATCATCAAATTGACTCGAGATTTTTTTCCGTTTGTTGTTTTTTCATTTGTTTTGTTTTCTTTTTTTTTCCTCTTCATCTTCTTCCTCTTGTTGATAATATTTTCATGTCATCATTTGTTAATTGTTTAAATTGTTGTTATAATTATTATACTTTCTATATCATTGTTATTAACAATGGTTTCAATTGTTGATTGTAATGGTCACCATCAAATGACCTGGAAATGTTTACAAACTGATTAAACTATCAACAAGTCACCATTTTGTGTGTTCAATTTTTCAGTTGTAAGTAATCATTAATTTCTGATCATTTTGATTGTTAATCATCATCACAATCAACCTGTTGATCAACCTAATCAATTGTGTATGTGTATTAATCAAAATCGTAGTGTAAGTTTTGATTATCAATTGATTTGGGTAACAACAATTTGCTTAATCAATTAGGAGATATTGATTATTATTTGTTTCGTTTCATTTTTCCTGGATCATCATAATCACTAATCTGATTATATACACAATTAATTGATTGATTGATTGATTGATTGGTGTGTTTCTGCTTGTGACGATCATGATAATTAACTTGACCAGTTGACCTTAACTAATATTTTTCACTTTTCCTTTGTGACCTCTATTTTTTTTTCTCCAGGAAATCGTAATCATCATAAGTGTCGAACTCAAATTTATTAGAACTTTTTGTTTTCTTATATTCTTTTCATCGTCTCGAGAATTGTTATTATTAGTGTTAATTTGATTATCGAATTGTAAATCATTCGTCTATTGTCATCATGGGTAAAGATCGTTGTCCAAATGATGGGACTACACCAATTTGCCGATGCCGTGTCATGTATTTGGGCTCATCGGTACCACATGCAACGAAGGACGGACTTCAAGGTATCCAGGAGCCTTTGCGTGACCTTTACCCTGAAAGTGGACTTGTCGATTATGGTTCCGCTGGAATTGATTCTTGGATAAGTGTTTGGTCAAACGGAATTTTAATTGAAAACGTCGACGATTCCGGACGTGAGATGAAACGATTTTTTCCCATTGAATCTCTACATTACTGTGCTGCGGTTCGATATGTTGTTATACCATCGATTTCAGGTCAAAATAATAGTACCAATATGAGTACAAGCGGTAGTGGTAATAATAATACAACGTCATCACCCAATGGAGTATCAGTTACATCAAATTCAACACAGCAACAACAACAACAACAACAACATTCATCAGGATCTTCATCAGTACTTAATCCAACTTCAGGCCATCAATCAAACGGAACCAATGGTGTTAATCATGTGAACAATTCCCCAACCACCTTGACCAATGGTGATGGAGATAAAAGTTATGATAAAGTGGCCAAATTTCTTCCCCTTGATAGTCCCTTTCTAAGAGGTGCCGATAACGGTCACCCGCCTTTGTTTGCTTGTATCTTACGTCGTACCACTGGTATTAAAGTGTTAGAGTGTCACGCGTTCATTTGTAAACGGGAACCTGCCGCTAATGCGCTGGTTCGTTGTTGTTTCCATGCTTATGCCGATTCAATGTATGCCAAACAAATCGAGGAAAATCCTTATTCGCACATTGGCTCCGGTGTGGGCAGTGGCGGTGGAGGTACCAATGGAAGCCATATGACAACGAAAAGATCACGATCCATTTCCGCTTTAGATACAGTTGATAAAGCCGATGGTAATTGGAATGACTCTCAATCTCGTGATCTCCTTGATGATTTACCACCACCTCCTCCACCTCCACATCATCATGGTACCAATGGTCATCACCATCAACACCATCATCAAGCACCTTCTGAAATTGGTGCAGGTTCAACGGTTAGTCAATCACCTGATGAAGATAATTACAAGATAACTTGGCCACCCGGTGGTCCACCTCCACTTTCAAGTGGACATTATATTCGTGAGGGTCCAATAAACACCATGAGACCAGGAATGATCGGTAAACCTCGTCCAATGATCATTCACATGGGACCACCGCCCCATGGAGGTCCTCACCCTCATCCAGCCATGATGACCAGTAATCATCCACCACCATTTGGAATGCCGATCGCTCTGAATGACCATCCACACGCTGATAAGATATTGAAACATTCATTGAAAAAGAAGAAGAAAAAATCTAAATCAAAAATGCTTCTAAACGGAAGTAGTCTACTCATTGGACCAGGTCCAGGTCCTTTTCCGGTTCCAGTAAATTTTGTTCAAGTGCCACAAATATCACCCCAGGGATCTGGTCATCATCATCATCTAATTCATCATCCACACCATCATCAACATCAATTACCACCACCACCTTCCTCCCACCACCATCATCCTCATCATCATAATACAATTTATGGACCTTTACCAATCCCACCCTCAGGTGGACAACAACCTCCACCTCCACCAGGATCAACAGCATATTCAGTGAGAACACGTTTAAGGCGAGGTCATCCCTCGGGTGGTGGTGTTGTTGGCCCTCCACCGCCCGGTGAATATCCAATAATGTTCACTGGTCCCGGTGATGAGCCCATTTACATTCCCCCCATGAGACCGTTAACACCCTTAAGCAATTATCACGGCGGAGGTCACCAGCATTCAGTTCACCCTCACCATCAACCCACCGAGTCTCATTATGTCTCCTATCCGGTCACATATGGAACTACACCAAGGCGGGAAAAGTACCGAAGCAAAGATCGGATCAATGGTGTTAGTCGATCAGTTTTGGGAGGTAGCAGTGGGATTAACGGTGGACACAATGGAGGAAGTGGTGGCGGTGGTGGAACCACTGGGGAAGATGAAACTGAAAGAGATTCATCACCTTCAGCGGTGGGTTTATACAAGAGAAAAGGTCACCTTAATGAACGAGCCTTTTCCTATTCAATTCGACAAGAGCATCGATCGAGGTCAAACAGTTTGGCAAATCTTGCAATCGATGATTCAATTCCGGTTGGTAGACCAATAAATGGTTCAGCTGGTGGATCAGGTTCATCGGGCGGTGAAAGAGGAGATGAAGATCATCTTCACGATAATCATCATTCTCATCATCACCAAAATCATCTTAATCATCATCATCAACATTCATCTTCTTCACATCATTCATCTTCCGTTCGTCATTCAATTCATCACCATGATTCTAGAAGAGGATCATCTTCCGCTTTCGGTGATCGAGAAAGGGAAAGATCGTCCGCTCATTCATCAGGTCACTTTGACAGATCGAACCATCACCAACAACAACAACACCATCATCATAATGGTCATTACGATGGACCAAGGGATAGTTTCATTGAATATCGAGAAACCTCTGGACGTCAAAGAGGAAGTTCCGGTGAAATGGTCAACTCGTTGTCCACCTCAATGGCCAATCTCAATGTCAATGGTCACTCAAGTTTAGAGTCCAAAAATGCCCCAAAAACGGCAAGTATCAAACGAAGCTCAAAACAACGGAACAGCCTGGGAAGCAAAGGAATGCCCATAGTCCCACCCTTACCACCGCCGACATCATCGCTTTTAACCAACGGTAATAAATCAGAATCTAAATCAATGAGGAAATTGTGATAAATCACCAAAACAATTAAAGAGTAACAATTAAACGTTACCGAAAGTAAAACAAGTAAACCTCAACTACGATAATAATAAGAATAAGCCAACAATTAAATTTTCCCCTCAAAAATCAATCAATTTGATTACAATTAATTTGCAATTTACAACGATAAATATATTAACCTGAAAACCTTAATTGTTCACAATTTAATTCAAACAATTGTAATAATTTTTTTCAACATCGACTTTTTTTCATATATAATTTTAATATACAATTTTGATTATTATTATTATCATCATCTAATTATTGATGAATTTCAATTAATTAATTATTTATATAATAACGATAATATATATTTGATTACACAATTAACAATTTCTCAACAATTAACTTTCAATGTTTCCCTTTTGTCACAATTTTAATCACTTAATTATTGATTTAACTTTAACTGTTCACATTGTATTACAATTAACTTATCGGATTATAAATAATAATATATTTAAATTGTTCAATCAGAAACAATTAACTGATTAACCGAAAACATTGACAATTTAATTAAATTAATCAATCAACTTGCAACTTGCGGAAAAACAATTCAATCAAATCAAATTTAAAACAGCAACAATTAAAATGATATTTAATTAACGTTAATCTTAATCATTTGTTAATTATCATTTATAATTAGCAAATATTAATACAAATACAAGTTAATTAGTAAAGAAATTAGTTAATTAATATTAAAAAAAAAAGATGATCATCTTTACTATTAATATTATCATGATTAGTTAATTCATTTGATTATTAAAACAATCAAGTTAATCATTATAAAAAGTCATGATTGTTTAGTTAATTGTTTTAAATATAAACATTTCCATTGTGTTTTTTTTAAATTGTTTGTTGATTATGAAAAATTCAAACAAATTGTTAAAAACAAACAAACTCTTGCAAATTGTTAAAACGTGAATTAAATCAAAAGCAACAACAACAATTGATTAATTCACTCTCACTGATTGTTGATTGTCTAATTTATTTAAATTCATCGAGTCCCTTAATCATCACAGATTAATGACCTTATCATGAGTGTTGATCATCATCATGTTTGACCCGGAATAAGAGTCGGAACATGAAGACAAGATGATGATGATGATGATTTAAGTGCAACCGTTGTTATTGACTCATTGTGATTCGTGTTCACTATTAACGTATAATCATCATCACCATAATCATTGATGATAGAGGGTGATGAGGATGAAGATGAGGATGAAGATGAAATTACAATGAAATTTTGACTGAAAGCGGCAAAAGATTGTAATATATTGACCTTTTAATTGGTTTGAAAGGCTTAAGATGATGTTAAATAATTAGCAGAGTTGATGATGAAATTCCGACAAGATGAGAGTATCAAGATGATAAGATGATGATCATTTCAATGAGAAACTTGAAATTCATAGAAAAGGTTGAAATTCTTGCCTCCCAGGCAAATAGTTCATCTTTTTTTCTCTCTCTCTCTCTCTTCTTGGCTTCTTTTTTTCATCTCCTATGTTTTCCCATCTTCTCATAAGATGATCATACACTTAGTACCTGTGTAAGACCCGCCGTGCCCGTCAATCTTGGCCTTAAGCCTCGCCCTCACTTGCTTGGTGAATCAACTTTAAGGAGGGTGAAAATAATTATGATTCTGACTAGTATCATGTTCATACGAGTGATAATCATGTTTTCGTAATCATTTTTTTTTGCTTCTTGTTTTCTTTCAGGTTTTTTTTTGTTCCTTGGTGTTTGTTGTTTGGTTACCTGTTCAATTGATTGTGTTGATTGAACGATTAGATTAGTTTCTTTTGGTTGGAAATAGAGTTTATTTTTTATATCACAATTGAAAAGATTTTTTCAGGTAAGTGAGAGAGAGAAAGAAAGAGGGAGGGAGATGGAGAGGGAGAGTGAGTAATAGGTAGGGAGATGTCAACATTTGGCTTAATGTAATTTGTATGAAGGAGTAGGAAAGGGTTGAGGGTATGGAGATAAAGGTAAACAGGGAAAAGTGATCTGAGAAGATGAGAGAGATAATCTAATTTAAATACAGAATAAGATTCAACATCGTATGTATGGTAAAGGTAAAGTTTTTACAACGAAATTCAATCGATTCAGATGAGATGAGGGAGAAACATGAAATAAACACATCAAGTGATGGCGGTGGAGAAAATTGTTTTCATAGTGGTTTCAGAATCGAGGGAGGGATTAACAAGATTAAGAGCATAATATTAATAATATTAATTATGATAATATAAAAAAAAAGATATTGGTATCAAATGAAGGTGGAGATGAATATGATGATGAGTGAGCATGATGATGATGATTGAGAGAGAACAGAGTGATCATCAGTCTGGAAATGGAATATGTTTCTCCGTCATCCTATTGGTCATCTTTCTTGTCATCATCAATTGGTCCGAGTTAATTTAATCAGGTAACTAATTTTGTAACTACTTTCCGGAAGTGGACAAAATTGAATGTTGATCAACATTTATCTGGTTCAATAATGAAAAGAGAGTAACTTTTTTAGATGAAAAAAGATGCTGAGAGAGAGAGAGAAAAGGATGAGAAGGAGTTGGAAAAGAGGGAGATGATGATGATGATGAAAGAGTCAAGAAGAAAACTTTTCACTTCCTATTAACTGGAAATTGTACTTTTTGTTCAGTCTCTATGAGAGCTGAAAACTTTGTTTTCTCACATGTTTGTTTACAATTAATGATAATGTTACAAACTAATAATAATTATCATCATGTTGATGTTAACTGATGATAATATAATGCATTCAATCATCAGCCTTTTCCTTATCATCATCATGTTTCAGGATTAACAGAAAACCATGTATTCTCATGATATTGAAATATTATCATTAAAGATCATCATGGATTCACAATTAACTAATCACAGTTAAAGACGTGTTACAATAAATGTGAAAATCAATTGAGTCAATTAGCTTTCATCTATTAATAATTGATATAACAGTTTGACCAATAAAATTAACTAATAGATCAGTAGTTTGATAATAGTTTTTTTTGTTTCCTCAAAATTGTTTCAAAATACTGATCATGATTAACGATCATAAGGATGGACACTTAAAATCAGTAAATAACTGGATCGCTATCAAACTTATATACATAGTATATTGTTAATCGTTTATATTATAATTTTTACGCAATTATCATCATCAAACTTAAATGTTTTACTTCCTCTCTCACAAATCTCTTTCTTTTTCATCTTCCATCATCTTTTCCAGGTAAAACTGGCTCAATTAAGAAAATTTTACACATGCCTAAAGCCCGAAAACTGGTTCTAAATTGGACAGGTCACGTTGTCCATCTTATTTTATATTTACCTCTCTCTCTATCTCTCTCTCTCTCTCTCTCTCTCTCTCTCTCTCTGTCTACTGGTTTTTGATATCTTTTTCCTTGCTACCTGAGTATTTTTATTCCTTCTGATGATGATATTACCTTGGCTCTTCCTCATCATCCTCAGAATCTGGGTGATCCTTCTGAATACTAAGAAAGAGTGGTAAAGATGATAATGATGGTAAGCTAAAAGGAAAATGATGATGATGATGATGATGATAAGGGGGTAATTTCATCTCTTCTCGTTGATTTCTCCTTTGTGAAATTTTCATCTCCCTCTTTTGCTCCTTCTCTTTTTCTCTTACATAATATATTCAAAAAAAAATAACTGATGGAATTTGTTTGTTTGTTATTGTGATGATGATGATGATGATAATTATTAAGATGATGGCAATAGATGAAAAGAGTTTAAAGACGGCGAGATGAAGATGATGGTGATAATTATGATGATGATGATGGTAATGACGATGTCAACAATGATAGTGATTAATTTCATTTGTGATGATAAAAAAACTATGATCTAAATTAAATTCTCCTTATATGAAATACGATGCGGCACAAAATACAAATGTAAATGATGGATGATTAAAGTTACTATCATTATCAACTTTCTTATTATTATCTTGTCTTTTTGTTGACCATCGTCCATTTTTTGTTTGATCATTTATGTAATTTCAATAGTTCTTTTTGTTGTGAAGTGAATTAGCTTGAATTTAAAATTGATGATTGAGAAGATAATTAGATGAAATAATTAATTAAACTTTAGGTGCTGCTAATGAAGCGCATTCTTCAACATTCTCAGGCCAATCGCAAACGTTTTCCTTTATGTTGAATACAAGATTCTGTGGACAAGGCATATGATGTTTCCGTTTCCCTTCACACATATAATACATGGTACAGTCTTTTTTATCCTTATGATAACTAATGTGTCCATCCTCCTCTTCACAAGAAACTTCATCTTTATCTAGAGAGAGAGAGAGAGAGAGAGAGAGAAATAAAAAAAACAAAATAAGATAGTAAATAACATTCATTGAATAAGTTATCGTGACATTAAAAAACATGATCATTGATTAAATTACCTAATTTTTGGCCAATTGCATTATTTAAATTGCTGCTTGAGGTTTCCAGGTTAGCAACTCGATAACCTCTTAGCTCTTCCTTTGCTGCATTTATCAATGGGTAATTGAAACCCATGCAGGTTCCCTTAAAATCATCCATGTCAATAGACCAGATCATTATGCCGCTGTAACCGGCTTGTTTTAACCATTGAACCTTTATAATCAATAAACAACAAGTTGAGATTAGAACATGAATAAATCAATTGAAATGAATATCAGATGAACAGGGTGAGAAATAAAGAGGAGTAACAAAAAAAAGAAGAATAATATAAATTATGATGATGAGAAAAGACGAAGAAGAGATATGACGAAAAGATGATGATGGATAAACAAAAGTAAGGATGCTAAAGGAGAAAAAGATAAAAGATGATATATCTTATCATCTTCCGGTAAATCAAGGTTATACTCGGAGAAAGACATTGACCTGACTTTTCTATGGGCTCAGTTAACTAACGATAAGACACCAAAGAGTAAAAAAGATGAAGATCGGGTAAAGAGGGAGATGATGATGATGATGATGAGAGTGTAGTGGGGAAGTTGATAGTATCTGTAGTAAATGCAGTGAGTGTGTGTGTGTATTTTCAAGTGAGTGAGTGAGTAAGGAAATTAGTAATTAAATAAGTTTTACAAACTGTTTTTGCTTCACTTTTTTTTGTTACTAAACGGAAAAAGTATATTGACCCTTGATTGTAATGAATGAGCAGTGGAACTTGATTTTGTCGAGTGAAAGAGATGAAAAAAATGAGATCTTCTAATGAGAAGATTTCAGTAATATTGATTAGCGGTGATTCTGATCTGGTTACATGTAATGAATGTTTCAAGTTTCATATATATACACACACACAGTTAGATCATATCAAGGGTTGTAAAGGTACAGTGAAGATGCTAATACGTGTGTGAATTTATCAATATCATGATGAAAACAATCATATAATTAGAATGAAATAAATCATCAATTATTGTATCATTTTTTTGTTCTTCTTCAAATTTTCCACAATTACCTTAATTTTAAAACTACGGAGATCATCAAATCCAACCCATTGGTCATCTTTATATGCATAAGGAACCATTTGTTCATTGTCCCAAACTAAAGTTGCTCCTTGTTTAAGTAAATCACAGACCTGAATCAGTTGGGAAAGTAAATTAACAATGAAACAATTTGATTAGTAATGATTAATTTACATGGAGATCAACAGAAAAGGAAAAGTGCAGTTGCCATCAGCTGGACGATTTAAATTGCATTTTCACATCCAACTGATTGATTTATTTACTTCAAAGAATGAAAGGAATCCAGATTCACGGGTAAATTGACCTGGTAAACCTCCTTTTATTGCCGGTGCTCCGATATCGGTTAAATTGGATGATTGGAGTGTAAAGGTACGTCCATAAGTCGGTAGGCCTACAACCAGTTTCTCCTTTGATGCTCCTTTGTTGACCCATTCAGAGACACTGAAATCCTGTTGTTTACAATTAAATGATGATAATTAGGAAGAAAAGAGAAATCAGAATTAGTTTAATCATTATAATTATGATGATGATGATGATTTAAGTCGAGGTGGTTGGTGATGAGAGGATCAGGCTGGTTGGATGAAATTAAAAAAAAAAGGTAGACATAATTAAGACGAAATATAAATCATCGGGTAGTTGAACTTAATTAACTTGATAAGTTTAAATTGTTAATTATGATTATGTTATTGATTTCACTTTGTATTAATTGTAAATTGATGATAATTTAACCTTTTAGGATTAAAGGTTAAACTTTCTTTGAGGGAAATGGGAAAGGTGAAGAAAAGTTTCCAATTGAAATTATCATTGGATTAATTAATTGATTTGTTTATGATGATTTGTTGTATTAAAAGATTCAGGATTAAAATGATGGATTAATTTTTCCATCATTTAACTTTAGATTGATTAGATTAAATTATCAGTAGGTGTGATTAATGAGAATACGTTTGTAATTAGAGATAATCTTGAACTTTTTTTCTTCTTTTATCAAAGTTAATTAATCTAACTAATTTCGCACTGAGGAGGATTTAATTTTCTGTGAGAAACAATTTCAACCCAAAGTTAATCAATTTAAATTCACCTTAAACATATGATTTCTATTGGGTTATCTTCATCATCTTTTTTTCCAGTTAAATGGTCAATCATCTAATTAATTATAATCATTAAAGTCTTTAAACTGTTTGGGCTAAAAATCTCATAAATTATCGCCCACTACTATTAATAGAAATTTCAATTTTCTTATTAGTAATTAGACATTTAGATTGTTAACTTTTGGATATCTGATTGAAAATCATCAGTAAATCAGTGGGAAAATAAATACAAAATTGAAAAAACATTAATGATCAGGGTTAAGGTATTAATAAGGTGATTGCCCTTACGATAATTTAAGTTAATACTGGAATAGTATATTCAATTTAATCACATTAGTTTTACCAATTAAGCTTTAATTAGTATTCTGATGGATTGATATGATTGTATCTCGACAATCGAGATAGTTAATTTTGATATGAAGATGATTGGTAATGATTTTTTTTAGGTTTGGAAACACATAAACATGATAAACATAAATCAGGTGATGGTGAAACAAACTGGATGATAACATTGATAAATATTGAGGAAAAAAAAAGTTGTGGTTCTCATGATTTAATCATGGAGACATTTAAAAAACACTCACAACTTTAACCTAACCTTGATACTTGTTGAACTTACCACTGTCAGCTTCTTGTGGTAACCAGTGGCACTATTTAACGGGAAAAGTGGACTATTGTGACCAACTGCGTGTTCCCAATCTCCATGGAAATCGTAAGTCATCACACTCATGTAATCCAAGTAACTGAGGGAATGGAAGAGAAAAAGATGAGTTAGAATCGTAAAGGGTAATTGATTGAGAGATTTATTTGGAGGTAATTGTTTGGGAGTGTTCAAGTTTTGTCCGTGATAAAGGTTCGTACTTGTTTAATTGTGGGACATCATATCCAGCGGCAACGGCTTCGAAACTGGCTGGAACAGCGGCACTTAATAGTAATCGAGATTTTTTAGAACCTTTTGCTTCTCCCTCAAACGCTTCTCTCAATTCTTTAATCAGTCCGGTAAATTTGGCCTTATCGTCGGGTCCTCGAGGGAATTCCCAACATAAGTCTAACCCGTCGAAACCGATTTTTCTTAAAAATTCAATGGTGCTAAAGGTAAATGAGGTTTGACGATAAACGTTCTCGGTTAAAGCTTTGAATGGAGCTGGACCGACCATCCAACCACCGACGGCTAATAATAATTTAAGGTCAGGGTTTTTCTCTTTCAGTTTGACCAATGAAGCGAGAATCGATGGATCTTCGGATTCTTCGTCTAATTTGTGATCTTTTAGTCCGGTGAAAGCATAGACAAGGTGGGTGCATAGGGTTGGATCAATGTTCTCAGGTTCAAATTTACCAGCACCGGGACGTTTTTGTGACCATTTAGTGAAATAGCAAATTATCCGAGCATTAGTTGAATTAGGATCGATTTCTGATTCGGTTATTGCATTATCTGGAAGTAAAGTTGTTCCAATATCCGATTTTTTCTCAATCAAATTAGTCTCAGCATTGGGGGTTGTTGGCTTAGGTGAGGTAAGAGGACGAGCTGAGGCGCGTTTAACAACGGCATTAAAGGAAGATTGTGGAGCTGGTCGACCCATCAACTCTTCGGTCATGATACCAATCAATGGATATTTAACACCAGTACATCGGCCTGAAAAATCATCCATATCAACAGTCCAAACCATGGCTCCAGCATAATCATTATCAATAATCCATTTCATCTTATTACGAATTGACCTTTCATCATCAAATCCAACCCAAAGATCACCATTAACCAAGTAGGGGACCTTTTGCTCATCATCCCAAAGGTATGTTGCTGTACCATCTTTGAGAAGGTCACAAATTTCATAGAAAGCCAAGAAACCCGCTTCTCTAGTAAATTCACCGGCTTTTCCTCCTCCTGCTGAAGGTGCATTCATCCCATGGTGTTCAAGCGAAGCCAAGGTAAAACTACGTCCATAAGTGGCCATTCCAACGACAATTTTCTCCTTGGGTGCTCCCAATTTCTCCCATAATTTGACCCCATAATCCTAAACACAAACAATAGAAAATGAGAAGAAAAATTCAGCACCAAAAGATCAGAACACAAAAAGAAAACAACAACAACAAAAAAGATTCGAAACAAAAACAAAACAATAAAAGAACTTCAACCAAGAGAATTAACTTAATTCCATAGACATAAAACTATTACCTGAAAGGTTAATCAATCAAAATTAATCTGAGAAAAAACAATCAAGATAAACATCTAATTGTAAACAACCAAATTAACTAAGAAATTGAGACGAAAAGAAAAAAAATTTTAATCGAAAACGAAAAAGTTAAATTCGCTGACACCAGATGGCGGTAAAAGCTTCGAAAAAAAATTCTATCAAATTTTTCTCTTTGATTGTTAATTTGATTTTCAATCTTTTGGTGATTAACTGATTTCTCCTTTTCGCTCATTAAATTTTAGTTAAATTGTAAGAATTTCAATTAGTTGATTGGAAAGTAATTCTCATCAATCGGCTTTTTCTTCTGTCACCAGTCATCAATTTTTCAATTGGTAAGTAATTGAGTTGAGTGAGTAAATTTTTTCTCTTGATTGTAATCTTAATATATTCAAGCAATTTAATTTGTTCTTTTTTTTTCGCACTAATTATCTGTTAAATTTGATTCTTTAGTTAACTGGACAAGTGAATTAATAGTGACCAGTCTTGTGACTTATGGTGTTGTCTTTAGTTCAAGGTGAAAAGAACTGTTCGTTTGGTCAAGTAAATCGGTTTTCTCATTTATAGTGTTGGTTTTGTTTTCTATTCTATTTTAACTCTTTACGGTTAATCTTTAGCCTTCTTATTTTTGTTTTCTAATGTTAACTAATTCTTTCTTTCTCTTTTATTATCTTTCATTTGTTTCTCTTCCATCACCATCCAGGTACCACATTCATCAATAGTTAATCTGTGTTGAACCAGTTTTCAGTTGTAGAAATACAGTTATTTATGCTTGGATCACACCGCTAATACACTACATGTATTAACTACTGACATGTATCACTATTGGTTTTGAGAGAGTTCAAGATAATTTCAATCGTCTGACATTGAGACCAGATATATATCATAACATGATTGAAGAAAGAAAAAGAGATAAATGAATTTCTCATGAAGATTTGATCTTCTCAAACAACAAGAATATCAGTTGAGTTTTCCTGAGAGTGGATATCGGTTTGGATTATTAAAATTCAAAAGAGATTAAGTAATCATGGATGTGTCCTTCCAGTTTTCAGATTGTTGATTGTGATTACAAGATTATGTTCAATTTTTAAACCATTTTCTTTTTGCTCTTTCTACTGTTAATCACAATTCATCACAAATCAATCACATTCAACTTACTATGGAAAGCATTTTTCTCCATTCACTTTCATTGGCTTGGGCATAAAGTGGAGCATTGTGACCAGTTTTACTTTCCCATTTTCCATGGAAATCATATGACATGATGTTCAAGAAATCAAGATATCTAAGGAAGATAATCAAAGGATTGGAGATTAGAGAAGAGAACAAAAATGAAGAAAACAAAAACCGGTAAACAAGTTAAACCATTAAATCACATATCCATTTGATGGCGGGTATTAAACTCTCCATTAAATTGGATTTTGTTATGGTTTAGAAAATTGGTAACTTAAAGTGAAGATTAAGAATCAACAACAATCTAACAAAGTGCTGGACTAATTTGATATGGATGCAACTTTTAATACTGATGAATGGTTTTTCTTTTACTGTAAAAAAGGATTATATTTGTTTACACGCTTCGTTTTACCAGGTAGATGCTGTTAATTGTGTCCTAATTGTATCTTGTTGATGCTGTTTGGTATTCATACTATTGTCGATCTTTGAATAATCAGATGTTACAATTTTTCTTTCTTTCTCTCTTTTCAGGTTCATACAAATTCATGGTAATTGATTGGAAATTAACTTACGCAGCAACAGCGGGTACATCATAGCCTGATTTTATGGTATCGGCTCCAGCGGAAACTGCCGCGGTCAGTAACAGTCGAGGAAGTTTTTTTTCCTTTGCTTCCGCTTCAAAGGCTTCTCGCAGTTCCTGATTGATGATTCAAGTTTGAACGGAAAAGTGAACCAAAAGCAATTTTATACAATATTTGCAGTAAATTTAGGAGAAAAAGAGAGAGAGAAATAAAAAAAACGGTAAAAAATATCAAATTATTGAAAATATATTGATAAATGATGGGATGGAACTAGGAAGTGAATCAAGTGGATACAGAAAATAAAAGAAAGAAAGGGAAGAAAGACCGACGTAAAAAAGGGATTGGACTTTGGGTGGAGTCGATGATTGGAAAAGGAGAAGAGGATAAACTGATCAAGTGATTGGTCAGAAACAGAAAAAGAAACTGGTGTAGACTGTTGTTTGGTTTTAAGGAAATTAGAGGAGAAAATGTCTAATTACTACCAACCTTTACAAGTTCGACGAAATTTTGTTTATCATCTTTTCCTCTTGGAAATTCCCAGTCCAAATCTAAACCGTCAAAGTTTCGTTCTCTCAAAAATTCCATGGCACTGAAGATGAATAAACGACGATTATAAGCATTGGAGCTCAAAGTTTTAAATCTTTCGGTTCCAAATGTCCAACCACCTAAATATTGACCAACGAAACGTCAACGGAAAATTAATAAGTCATCTTTAAATTGTATTAACTACGATAACTTATATCATTATCTGGTAATATGATTGTATCATTAGTTAATTTGCTTCCGTCTTAATCTCTCTCTCTCTCCCTCTCTGGGTCAAGGTTACAATCCACTTTTACCTGGATGAATTGACGACTGATGATCAACTTAAATACTACCATTAACTGTTACTAAATCAAGTTAATTATGGTTGTAAATTTATTACTTTCTAATGTTACCTGTTGATACTTAACTTTTTTTTTTAACCTACTATTTGCAACTATATTATTATTATATTTGCAAACTCATTTTCAATTAATGGTTTAAATGTGATACATTTTAATTAATATTAATCATCGTTATTATTTATAAAGAAATGTAAATTACTGGTTATCGAAATCAAATCAAGTCTTACTGGTGGTACAATGAAATTGGACCTGATATTGGTGATGGTTAAATAATACAAGGAAAAACAAGTATCAAGAATGATTGGATAACAACAATTAAGTTTAATTTACCTAATGGCAAACGATAGCGAGATTAATTAATGGAAAATAATCAATTGGGTGCTGATAATGATTAACTTATCGTTATAACTTAAAGTTAATTTGGTGAACAAACTTATGATTGAAAGATTAACCAATCGTCATAATGGTTATTAGAGTAATACAATTTAAATTGTTATTGTATTATTTAAGTTGATCACAATCACGCAAATGAAACATTAATTGTTGTGATCAATTTTTTTCGTAATTTTCAATCATTTACACTTACAATTTAAATCAATATATTTATCAATGGATCAATGGAATAGGAATCGCCGGAAATTTTTTCGCTCAATGGTCAACCTTAATCTCGGAGATTTAATTATGAAGAATAGAATTACTTTAATTGTTGGAAATCTATCATAAAGTAATTATCTTCTCAAATGGAATCCACCCTAATTTAAATCAATGGAATGACCATGAGAGAGGAAAAGCGATTAATAAGGAATCGACTTCTCCCTTAATCAAGGGAATTAACTAACTAGATGTTACTATTTTCTCCTCCAATGATTAACTAATGTTCCATATAAAATACTCAACTAATCAAGGTAATCAAATTTTTAATTATCAACAAGAAAACAAGGTTAATCATAATTGGAATAAGGAGAAGAAAAAAAAAAGAAAATCAAATGAAAATGATTTAATGAAAGGGCGTAAAGTTATGGGTTACCTAGTTAATTATCAAGGTTAATCAACAAATCATTTGGATTTAATCAGATTGGAGAAATTAACTAATTAGCTGACTGTCTGTGAATGATTTAATTCTCAACGATTTAAGTTGAAATAATCGTAATCCGAAACAATCAACTCATGAAAGTGAATTATTTTCATTGATCTGATTAGAAAAAAAAATTAATTCCTTGATTTGTTTGTTGTTGATTGTTCGCAATTAAAGTGAATTAATTTACCAAATTGGTAACAATCAAATGAACGTTGATTTTTTTGATTAACAATCAACTTTTTTTATTGATGCTTAATTATTGTGAGTCGATAACATTTAATTAACAACATTACTAAATGAAATACAATTTACCTAAGGTAAGATTTAAATTAAATAACTGTTTTAATTGTTGTTGATTATGATTTAATTGAATCAACTGGTTGTTTCATTGAATTAAATACTCATAACAATTAACAGGGTTAATCAAATTGTTGCTTTTTGAAGGTTTGATTATCAATTTGAAGGGAAATTAATGAAATGATTTAAAATTGGAAGCAATTTGATGTGAAATTAAAGCTTAATGATAATTTAATTCTAATGATTTAATTTAATTGCGAGAAAATTTAAACTCTAATCATCTTAATTGTTGATTTAATACAATTGGAAAATAATCACAATTGAGATTTAAAATTTTCGCAATTCTCATAATAATAATCATCTGTCTCTCTCTTAATTGTTAACAATTTATTTACTAAAAAACGAGTAATTTAAACACAATAGGAACACAATTAACAACAATTAGGAAAAGTAAACTAATCACAATAAATGGTAACAGAAATGTTTGAAAAGTTAATCAAGTCTTGATTGTTGTTTAAGGCAATTTGGTTAACCTGATTTAATTTTAATCAAATTAACTAATGATTGATTAAAAAATCAAGATCAATACTTTTCAGTTTCACAATTGAAAGTGTCAAAATTTAATTAATCAACTAATTAAAACTTGATTTAATTTTTAACATAGATTGTGATCTAATTGTGAATTAATTTTTACCTTTAATTGTAATTAACTTTTGATTAATTGGAAAGTAACAAAAGTTTTTTAACTTGATTCTTAACCAATTAAACTAAATTGTAACTTTTAAATTGTAACTTTTAAATTGTTCAATATTAGAATGTTAATTTGAAATGTTAAATTGTTAGTAAAACAATTAAGTGTGAAAAGTATATTAACTTGTTGATCTAAATTCACATTAATAATTTCAAATCAAATTAACGAAATTGATTAACTAAAAAAGAGAAAATATTTTTTAATTGTTAACATTTCTAATAAAATACAATCACAATTAACTGATGAGATGAAAAGTTATCACAAACCTAAGGTGTGTAACCGAACAATTAATTGTTAAACTTAAATCATCTTCTTAATTGTCGACAATTAAGTTGATTTAATTGGATTCGATTTTTTTTCTTTAATTTAATCAAAGAGATGGAGACACAATCGATTAGAATTTCAAATTCTCATTTGTTTTTATTTCTTTTCCTTGTTAATTGTTATGTTAATTTCTTGTTCTCTGTTTCTTTTAATTAATATTTAGTTAATTACTAATTTCAGGTTAGTTAATCAGATGGAAATTAGTTAATTTCTACAGTAATTAATTGATTGTTCGGTGATTGTCTTTTAACTAATCTGTTAATTGTTTGTTTTGTTTCTGTTTTTTTTTGCTTTTTATAGTTTCACTTTGATGAGTAACAATTGACTAATTTTAGTTAACTAATCAAACTTAATCAATATGGTCAATTGTGATTAGTCTTTTAATTGTCATCGTCTATTTGTTAACATGTTGTCGTAAGTTAATATATTGTAATTCTAACAATTAATATTGTTTTTTTCTTTTGTTTATTTTCTCTTTTTCGCTCCAAAAACAAACATGGCTTCTCATCCCTTCCCCCTTCTTTATCGTTCTTCTATTGTTTTCTCTTTGTCTTTCTACAAATTTCCATGTACATGGTAACAATTAATGACAACTTTTCTATTCTCTTTACTCTTATCAATTTTAGATTGTCCCAAAATGGAAAATGATTAATTTCTTTATTGACAGAATTAACGAGTTTCTCCTTTTTCTATATGTTCAAAGTGTCAACAACCAAAAAGGCCTAACATGTAATTGCATATTCTTTTGGCGATTTAAATCATTTAGTATTCTTGCTAATTAGCCACTAATTATAAAAAATTTTCTTCGTCTCTTTCTCTTTGTTTATAGTGAAAATACCCAATAGACCAAGAAGATTTTTGGTTTTAATCAATCTCTACAATGAATCAACGACTGAACCTTTTCCGTTTTGTTGGATGATTTTTAATATTTTCTTTTCCTGGTAATCTAATTGTTTACCTACCGGCCAACAAAAATTTTGACATCAACTTATTGGCCTGACAATCTATTTAACACTAATTTTCTGGTCCTCTGATCCATTAAAACTAACATTTTAATGTTCGTGTGTACGGAAAATTTAATGAATGACCTGAGTTATATGTTATCCGGTGATAATTGGGATCGTAATTGAAAACTGTAACAACAACAGGAGCAAAAAAAAACAAGATGACAAAACTCAAGATGAGATGGAGAGAAAATTAATTTGTGTCCAAAAAACTATAAATACTATCGGTACAATCTAATAATTTGTTGTTGATTGTAATTGAGATATTAGGTAAGGCCGGTTGGTTAACTGGTTAAACCAACCTTGGTTTCCAAGTTAATTATTTTGATTTGTATCAACATTACAAGTCCAGATTTGACCTGAAGAGATAATATCGATTGTAAAAAACACGTAAACCAATTTACCTTATTAACTGTTGCGCCTGCAAGTTAATCGTGATTGTGTGTGAGCGTTGCTTACATAAATCACTGGAGATGCAAGTAAATTATTAGTTAATCACAAACCCGAAATCATAATCAAAATAAGGGTTAGGTGTTTGTGTCAGTGAGAGAGAGAGAGGAAAAAATTAATCCGATCACACGATTAATTGTACTTCTTAAAATCCAATCCCAGTTACTAGAGTTAATCAATTAGCGTGACAACTTTAACATTCAATTAAAGAGACTAATTAACAATCTTTTTCTTTTAGTTGATTACATGAAGACTTCAATTAACCATCATCGCGATCACTGGACAACAATCAAAGAGATACAAACACAGGATTAATTGGTTGGAATCTAATTGTTAATGGGAACCGGAAAAAGTTTCAATTCCATTTTGGATTAATCAACGATCCATGAGTGTTATGATTGTTTTTATTAATCCTCATTCTTCATCATGAAAGTGATGAAAAAAAAAATAGATTCACATGATAAACGTTTCGTTTGCACTGAAAATGTGATTTGATTCAATTTCTCACATAATTGAATTAATATTCAATGTTTACTTTTAATTATCTCTTATTGGTGTTTGAGCTTATCATGGAATTGGAAATTTTTTCTGCCTCTCACCAGAACAACCGTTGATTATCCAGGATAATTATCTAATTGTGGTGGACATTTTTTTATTACCTTGTCCATCAAAATGTTATGTGGTTAACAATGTTTTGAGAATTGACTCAATTATTTGTGGAAAAGATTACTAATTGTAAAGGAGCAACAATCAACCTCTTCCGGCAACCATTTCATCAACTTGTCTTTCATTCATCAGGTAAATAATTACAATTGATTGTAAAACTATCCTAAAATTGATGAATACAATCAAATTGTCTCAATGAGGATTAATTTTTTTTCTTCTTGATCTTTCACTAATCTCTTAACAGTTGATTCAATGGAGACTTTTTTCAATTATGGTTAAAGCAAAAATCAATCACTTTATTATATAGTTAATTTGGACTCTAACAATATGGATGGACAATCAAATGATTAAAAAATTACTGATTACCATTGGAAAAGAAATTACATTAGATACAATTGAATTTAAATTGTCTATCATTGGAAATTTACTCTAGAGTTATACCTGTTAATTGTTACCACTAATTTGCTCAACAATTGATGGCACTTTTGACCATCATTAAGCAATTATAAGGGTATTTATGTGTTGGTTGGTTAAACATTTTCTGCTTTGGTTGATCAAATGGAACTTTAAATTATTCTTAACAATTTAAATAGCACAAAATCAAATGAATACATACTCATAATACACACTCACACACGAGAACAAGATAATTCTGATTGCTGACAATTTCATCTTATTACAGATTGAGATCAGAAAGATGTATCAAAACGTATTGGAAAAGGAAGGAGTTGAGATGTCAAAGTTAAATGCCATCAGCAATCAGTGAACTGAAAAGTTTCCTGTTCAATCAGTTTAATCGTCATTTATTTCAAGTCAATAATGGTAAAGATGAAGATGATGAGGATGGAGAAGAAGTAAAAAAGATGACGATAAATTCAAGGAGGAAGGAGACAGAAAGTAAAACATTGATGATGATGGAGCGTGGCCTTCCGATTGGGGTGAGGTGTTGGTGATGATGATGATGTGGGAGAGAAGGAGCTTCAAGTTTCTGCAAAAACGTTTCATTGATCATCCTCATCAATCTTACTCTCGACTCATATTCTTACAATCAAAACGTAAATTAACTGTTATCTGTTTACTTGATTTTCCGTTTCTTTCATCAAGATTATAAACAGTAACTGTTAATTTAGATCAAATTAAACCAGTTGTCCAGTCAACAACTACTAATCAAATTGTTTGCCTATCACTATCAAGGTTAATTGTTGGTTTAGGTAATAACAATCTCCATTGTCGACAGTTATCAATTATGATGATATTGAATTATCATTTAATTGGTTTGATTGTCAATTTGTTTTAATCAATTCTTTCAGAAACAATTATTATTATAATAATTCAAAAACGATCAACTAATTAACTTTTTGAAGGGGATTTAATTAAAAGTTGTAACCATTATTAATTAAGCTCAAGAATATTGATTTAAACGAGATTGAAAACCTTGTTTAAATTTGATTTAAAATTAATTGTTGATTATAATTATTATAAAACTTTAGAGGTCAGTTAATTGTTTGTAGTTTTTTTTGCTTCAAAATCAATGAAAATGATCAGCAATCAATTTAAATAATAATAACCAACGTTTGAGTTGATTAAATGATTAATTTACTTCACACTTAATCCCCTAATTTTATTTGCTACAACAATTAACTCAATCAATGAATTTGATGATATCCATGGTATTAATTGTTAACTGCAGACAAAAATCATTATTGAAACAATTAAAAGTTAATATAATGAATTGTTATTGTTGATACAATTTCAGTTCAACCCAGTGAAAGTTAACAAACAAAAAGTTAATTGAATCAATCGGCTTAATTGTTTACTAAAATCATGAAAAGTAAACACCAAAACAAAACAATTTAAATTGTCACAAATGTGAAAAATTTTCATTAATCTCAGGAATTGAGGGAAAAAGTAAATTAACAACAACAATTAACGATTGAGATCAACAATCGACCAAGAATTTGACCAAATTATTAAGGAAAATAGTTAATCTAATTTTCGTTTCGATGAGGATTAAGATTAAAATGATTAAGAAAATCAGATAAACAAATTCTCAATGATAAATCACCTTAATCTTGATTCATCTTAATCTGATTATCTCGTCATTATATCAACAATTATCTTCTTAATCATGATGATTACTACAATTATCTTTTCATTTCTCTTTTTCTTTTGTCATCTGTTTCCTAAAATAAGTTAATCATCAATTGATCCAGTTACTTGGTTGCCCTTACATATAAGTTACACCTTAATTGTAATCAACATCATCAACAATTAACAGTTAAAAGTGATTAGAATCACTTTCTCCTGAATCAATGGTTGAACATTTGATTGAAATCCTGTAGTAGAAAAAAATTAACATATCAATCAAATTATCTTGATAATCAAATTAATCCACTAACAATTAACCATGATGAATGCGATTCGATTATAATAATGGAACCACAATTGAGATGATTAATTAAATGGCTGAAAAGTTAATGAACAATTAGAGAAAAGTAGTAGATTCAAATGGTTGATTTCTATTAATCTATTCCAAGAGATTCTAGTTGTTACAATTAACTTATAATAATATTCGAGAAATTGTAAAGAGGAAAATCGATTGGTAGAAAATATTTTATTCCTTGACCCCGGAAACGGAAATGATGAAGATCACATAACTAATATGAAGGTAAAGATGATTAATTACTTACCGATCGCAAGTAGGACTTTGAGCTTGGGATTTTTGAGCTTGAGTTCGGTTGTCCGTTCGTAGAGTCCTTTTTTACCCGCTTTGGTCTCGTCGGTGGGATCGTGAGCCGATATTTTCGACTTCTTCAGCCAACCGAAGGCGAAGATTATGTGAGTACAAAGTTCGGGGTCAATATCTTCAGGCACGAATTTACCTTGATTGGGTCGATATTGTGACCAATTAGTATAATAGCAAACCACTTTCTTGTTTGGATTGGTCAAGGTTTTCGCTTTAAGAAGAGCTCGTCCATCTGATTAAGTTAATTGTTCCCCGATAATTGGCCAAGATCATTGATTGTAATCCAAACAATCAGAAAGAGAAATTGAAACAAAAAAAATGATTAGTGATTGATACAAATTGATTGTTCCTTCATCTCATTGATTGTTTATTATTCAGTTTTTTCAACATTCGTTTATCCTTTCTCTTTAATTGTTTATTGATTGGGTTGAGATTAAAATTAATTGTTCATTTTTGGAAGGTAATAAAAAAAACGCTCTGACATTGGAGTTGATTCTTGATTCTAGATTGTTTTCATTGATTGGGAAAATTAACAAATCCAGTTCGACCTTTAGAACTTATTTAAAGATGATTGAGAACAAAATTAGTTGATTATTAATAAAAAAAAAAGGCAAAACTTTCAATCAATTAACAATTAAAAGACTCAAACAGTGATTAAATTTGATTGTTTGGTTTAGTTTTGTATTTGTTTTGTTCATGAATCAAAAACTTACACCGCCTAATGATTAATGTTTAGTTGTAGTCATTATTTTTTGATCTTGATTGTTTATATTTATAAATAAATTGCAACAGACGTAAAGTGAAATAGTAAAAGTTAATTGTGATTAATCATTGATTGCAAAATGAAATATATATGAGCAATACAAGTAATTAGGTTTCGTTAGTCAGGTCATCAATTGTAACGATAGAAACAACTACAAACTATTGGTCAAAAGTTTTTCTCAAACGTTAATTTAACAAACGTTTTCGTTACCAATCATCAAGATTATGATAATATAATAGTTACGGGAGGATGAAGATGAAGATGATGATGATGATGATGATGTGGACTTTGTGCTAAATAACGGTTCTAACACCACCCAAACCAACCCGAGGAACCGGGCTAAGCGGTCTTACCTGGTTCCTAACAATTTGTTGATTGTTGATTGGTGTCAATATGAAAAAGCAGCAACAATCAACAACAGAATAACAATTTAGATAAATGGTTGACTGGATAACATTAGCCTCGATTGGTTGAGATCTAAAGATGGCAAATGGTCCTAACGGTCAAGGTAAAGGTAGGAAAAAGGTAGCAAATGATGATGATGATGATGATGATGATGATGATTAAGATGATAACATGATTTGTATTTCTATTAAAATGATTTAACTTGATGATGATTAAGTGTCCAGGATAAAATTCAGGTTAAGTTCACAGTGAATTTTTTGCTTTATTTTCATCATGATGATGATTACGATGATTAAACTTTCATTGGGAAATTAACAAACAAGTAAAACAATAAAGTTAATTACTGTTGATGTAATCAAACTGGACTATTTATTAGCATTTGCTGATTAACTTTACCTTTTTTTTAATTGTTATTATTATTGTTACTTAAGTATTATTATCATTTGTATGATAAGGTTTTCACACTTTATATCTGTAGCATCATTATCATTATATGCTCATCACCATTGATTGTTGTTGTTGTTGTTGTTGTTGTTGATTGTTGATGAATCGTCACAGACCAAGGAATCATGATAATAATAATCAACATCATCATCATCTTCATGTTACTTTTTTGCATTGGTGAAACATGATGATGATGATGATGATGAAAGAAACTGATCATCAATTGTGTTTACTCAATTGTTTACCTTTTGTTACCTGTTGATTGTTGATTACCATTTACACCATTATTGTAACCCTGTAACCACTATTTTTAGGTTGATCATCATCATCATCATCATCAGTAGCATCAATTCATCTTCCATCTTCATCTTGATCATCATCTTTAATCACGATTCTTATTGATAAAAGTTACTCGATAATTAGAAACCCAATTTCATGCTTTTTTGTCATCAACGATTATCATTCAATTTTGGATTCATGATTGATCATAATTGTCTGTATATACTAATTTAGTAATCACTATATCTAATTGTGAATAACTTTTTTTTACTCGAAATTTTTTTAATTTAGTTTAATTTTGTTTCTTTCGTCAAAAATTATTATTATCATCATGTTAATAATTGCGAGTCAATCAAATCAAATGAAGAAGCTAAAGTTTCATATATTAACAAATTGTTATTATTGATTCACTTTCATGGTGATCAAGATGATTTGGTTAATTGTATCATTGATGGAAAATAAATTTTAATTTGTAAATAATCAACTAATCTTTTCATTAGATTGAATAATTAATAATAATTGTTAACAATAAGCCAAACATAATAACTGACCAGTTGATTGTTTGATATAATTATTTAAATGTAACAAAAACCTTCAAACATTGTAAAAAGTTTTTCTTACAATTATAACAATTAGATGATGATGATGATTAGCTTTAATTGTTAATCACTAATTCATGATATACATTTTTCAAGGATGAAAATCAGTAAAACTTAATTGTTATTATTATTTCATCTCCATCGTCATCATCATTCATTATGAACTTTTCTGGGTGTGACCAGTGTCCAGTTCAGGAATATCATGTTATTATAACGTTTCTGACCTCATCATCAGGTGATCTCAGGTCAATTGTTGACCACAACACGATCTTTTAATAGTTTTTTGCCTCATTCAAAATCGTTCACAATTAACTAATCATCAAATTGTAACTCGAAAAAAAAAACAATCAAACAAAAAGATTTAGCAAAAATTTTCTGATAATCAAAGAGACAATTAACTAATTAACAGTTTTGTCACTCGTTTTAATTTCTGTCTCTAATGATTTAAGATTAATTAATTAATTCCCTTATCAAGTCAATTCTCAAAACAATTAAGAAACTACTTTTTGTTTAATTGTTCACAATTTCAAGCCCAATGATTTACAATAATTTACTATTAACTTAATATAGTTTTTTGTTGTTCTCATATTTAAAAAACTTTTTTCATTCTACTGGTTAACTTTTAACAATCAAATAATTGTGATTAAGCTTATTAACCTTACCACCTCAATTTATTAATTGTGAACCATATAGTTAACTAATACAATCAAACAAGTTGCTAATCACAATGATTTTAATCAGGTTAACGGTCAAATTGTATTATAAATGTTTCCTAATCAAGGTAAGTTTTTTCAACTCCAATCAATTTGAATAATAATTAGTTAATTACTTTCATGTTGACAATAAATAAAGCAAAAATTTTTCTGTCACAATTTAAAACTAAATCAATTTGAAAGGATAAGAATATTAAGAAAATTAAGGAAAATCAATTGATTATTGAATTTAACTTACTTGATAACCTTTTGGATTGGGCTAATTGTTGATTAAGGCAAATACTAACAATAAAAATTAATAAACATGTCCTAATTGTTATTAACGATGTTGATGATGTTTTCCCACTCATAATTGTTAGTTGATTCACAACAATTAAATGGGTAACAATTGATAAACTAAATAAGAAACAGGGTTACAATTTAAAAAATGAATTACAAACAATTAAAAAACTCCAATAGGTAACAACAGGTAGAGATCAATATAATCACAACACTTGGAGAAAGAAAAAGTTTTCAATTAGTTGATTAACTTTTCAAGACAAACAATTGATCAACAGTTAATTGTTGATTGTTTCTATGGTTCCAAACGATTCTAATTGTAACAATCAATGAGCAAATTAAATCAATTAAAAGGTAATTTTTGTGTTAAACATTCGACACGTTGATCATCACCATTAATTATATTTAACGAAAGAAAATGATTTAATTTGATTGTATCATTTGTTACGAAAACTGGATTAAAGGTGTTTAACTTGAAACAACGTCTTAAACATTCAACACTTGAGGTTGAAATGATTAACTGAACGTTAATTCAATTCAAACGGCAATTTGATTCATCAGAACCATCTAACGATTAAACAACGTAACTAAATTAATATATATAAATTGTTGATCCAATTTCCAACTTTCCTTTAGGTTTAACTGATTAACTGATCTGGTAAATTGTTACAACTCCTTTCTCTGTGGTAAATTATTGATTGTTACAAATGATTTACAGTTGGAAATTAATCTAATTGTTGGTTTACACGATTGGGAATCGTTTACATGATTTAGTTGATTGTGTTTCTTTTAAAAGGATTCGTTTTCTTTTGCTTTTTTTGCTTCTCGTTAATTTAATATTCCAATTACACCTTAATCATAAATTCACCAGGAAAATTAATGGGTTATAATAGTTTGTTTTGCTTTGATTGTTGCATTGAAAGTAAATTTTGGTTATACTTTTGTTTTCATTTGAAAATTTTCATGTTTGTTTATCTTCATGTTAATTTTGTTTTTGCATTTATCTTTCCTTGTAGTAGTTTAATTATCAGATAAAATTAACTGATTGGTTCCAATTTTGTCAAGGTTTTCCTATTGGTCTTGTTTGAATTTGAATGCATATACATTTGTATATATAAATATATTGATGGTTTGGCTAATTAATTTCGTCGATCTGGATCATAGGGTTCAACCAAATTTTTCGAGAATTCAACAATTTGTTCAGCACCACGAACTTCATGATCCAAAAGTGGTAATTTAACAACATGAAAATCCTCATAAAGATCCATTATCTGTTCTAAATATTTGTTCTGTAATTTAATCCGAGCGGTGCACATTGGACATGGTTTATCATCGGACTTTTTGGGAAACAGTAATTGATTGACCACAATGTTATGAGTGTCAATTGAACATTTAGTTAATTCTTGGACCAATCTTTCCGTTTCATAGAGGGATAAAAACTCGGGTATACAAATACAGACGAAAGTTGTCAGGCTGGGATTACGGAATTGTTCATTAACCGTTCGTATGATTGGTAAAATTTCCTCAATCTTGGCTGACATGGCATCGGGTGAGAAATCAGTGAGTCCCAAAAGACTAGCGAAATTAGAAATCATTGGTGATAGATGAGATTGAAATCTCAACAATTTACCTAAACCTTTTTCAACCATAGCAGGAAATGATAGAAGTCGTAGAGTGTGACCAGTTGGAGCGGTGTCAAACACTACAATTGAAAAGTTCATTGAATTAACCAGTTTCATCACTTCAGCATAAGACATAGCCTCATCTATACCAGGTAAAGCACCGAGAAGCTCAGAGATAACGGATTTAGATGCACCTCTTAAAGGATCACTTTCTTGTAAAAATTCATCAGGTAATTCAGCAACTCCAAGGTTTGGATCGATTTCCATTGCATGTAGATTGGTAAATCCTTTTACCAATGTTGGTACTTTGGAAAATTTTTGATTAAAAGCATCACTTATATTGTGAGCTGGATCAGTTGAGATGATTAAAACTGATGGACGACGTTTAGCCAATTGAACAGCAAGACTACAAGAACAGGTAGTCTTACCAACTCCTCCCTTGCCACCGACAAAAACCTATCAAATTGAAGAGAAAGCAAACCATAGGTTAAGAGAAGAAGATAGAGAAAGAGAAGAATAAAAAAAGCCAAATTAGAAGGAAGAATAAGATGAAGGAGATAATACAAAAGAAAAGAACAAAAATTAACAGAGAACAAAATGAGAAAAGAAAAATCCATCAAGAGAGAAAACGATAACTCACCCATTTCAATGATTCCAATTCTAGAATATTTCTCAATGAAGGTTCAAGCATCTCTTCGTCTCCCATGGAATCTAAATAAGCAGCCATGGTTAATTAACTAATCAGATTTAAAAGAGAAATGAAAAAAATAAATTCCAACATTAAGGTAAACATATGATGATGATGAAGGGAAAATATAAAATTGGAAATCGATTGATTCAAATTAAAGAAAATGTTCCAGAAAAATAAAAGAGACAATCAATTTTACTTACTGATTTAATCGAAGTTAATCAACAATTAGAAATAATTGATTAAATTGCAAATAGAAAAATAAATGACAAGGGAAAAAGATAAACAAAATTTTTCTCCGAAAATAAAAATCCAAATGAAGAGAAACAGAAAAGAAAAAAAAAAGAAAACAATTATCGATGAATCGATATAAATGGTTGACGCCTCTCGTAAAAATTTTAATTTCGCACAATTTTCAATTAATTTTATAATTTGTTTACATGTCGATTATTTAACACCTTGTTACAATTAATTTTCGAGAACGATTAATACAGCCTGTGATCTTGGATTAATCATGATGATAACAATTGATGATTTCGTTTTTTTTTGTTGTTGTTGGTGAGAGAAGTGAAAATGAATGATTCAGTTTTCAATATTGTGTCTTTGTTGATGATTAGTTGATTTTTTTTTTGTTTCTTTCTTACAATCAGTTCGTTTACTAATCATCGGATGGAGATTATAAAGTGATGTTCGATCATGGGAACTGTTTGTGGTCACTATGGATTTCTTTTTAATGATGTTATCCAACGTTTTCTCTTTGGTCTTTCTATCTCTCTCATAACTGGACAAAAGAAAATAGCAATTAAAGAGAAAGAGAGGAAAATCAGTTTTTTTTGGAGAGACAACAATTAAGTGGGATTTTGTTTGTTCTCCTTTGATGATGTTGATGATGATTACGGTTGAGATGATGTTTGGATTTGTGATGATAATTTTTTTTATGATGATGAATTTGATAAGATAAAGGAGAATTGGTCTTGTTTCCGTTTTTAGATTAAACCCTTTTTCTTTTTATATTCTTCCAGGTTTAATGATCGACGATTAGGTGCCGATGGCCTGGAAGATGATGAGGTGAGTGAATGGGAAGGATAAAGTGGAGAATAAGATGAACTTGATGAAGCATTTGAATTGTTCATTGTTCCTGGGATATTAAATTCAATGTGAATATCGAAATTATGAGCAGAATAAAGATCATTATTTTCAGGTTCATTTGGCTTAGGTGATCCACCAGGATTGGTAATATCTTTTTCCAATTTGATTCCTTCCTTTGATGGAGTTAAACCAGGTTTGGGTACAATTGAGTCTAAAGTGGAAGACGATTCAGAATTAACTGGTGTCGAGGCATTTGCTCCGCGGCCGAACTTATGTACCAACATTGGTGCACATTTTCGCCTTCTAAATGGATCGTCAACTTGTTCCTTTTCCTTTTCTCTACCTTCCAAAATTGCCTTTTCCGCTTCAATTATATTTCTCATTCTATTTCTTTCATTAATATAACTTATACCATGAATAGTTTGTGTCCTTTTTAAATCTAATTCTTTTGCTTTACTTTCAAGATCTTCAATCTCATTGGAAATTTTTTCAACATCCTCTAGGTTACCAAGTTGCTCGGCCATTTCTTTTTGTTTAAGAAGTTCAGTCTTTTTAACAGCAAAATTAACTGGTGTTGATTTGTATTTCTCTTTCTCTTTGACAATCGCCTCAATGTCCGCTTCTTTGTAGCTATAATTGATAGCGTTTTTAATCTCCGTCTGTTTCTTGGTGATAAAATCTTTACCGGGTAATTCAAGTCTCTCACGTTCCATACGGAATTTCCATTCGTCAAATTCAGTTTGGCTGAATGGCTTATCTGAGAAAACTTCAAATCTAAATGTTTTCAGATCACCAGCATGTCTTACTGACGCTGTCTTATTGGTCAAAGTGTTATCCAATTTGTAGGTTTTTGCACCATCCAGAACGTTTACAATTTGACAAATTTTATAAACAGGAACTTTCTCCTCTGTAGTGCTACGTTCTCGATATCCAATGAAAACTTTTACAAAACAGCCAATAATTGTATCTTTAAAGAAAGGTATATGACACCATTCATGTAATCGATAACGACTAAGCTTTATCTTTGACAATTCTTCCAGAGTTAAGATGAAATCTTCCACCTTTTCCTTAACTTCTTCATCACTATCATCACCTCCATCACCGTCTTCATCGTCTTTATCACTACGTCGTCTTCCTTTATCATCATCACTTTCATCACTTGAACTAGAACTGGATGATGATGATGATGATTTCTTCTTGATGGGTTTCTCGTCATCATCGTCACCATCGGAAGAAGATGAAGATGAATAAATGTCGATAGCACGTAGACGTTGTTTCTGTTTCCTTTTCTCTCTTTGTTCTAAGAAGAAGAGATATTTAAAATCATTAGATCGCAAGAAATTATAACATAAACTCGCTCAAAATTATCAATGATTAATAAAGGGTAAATGAGCATGTTAGAAATAAATCATCCTTTGGATATTTTCTACTTGAAGAAAATAACACTCGGTCATTTTTGGTATACCTTTTAAACCTTTGATCGCGTTTTTGACTTTTCTTTTTTCCTCCATGTTTCGTCTTCTTTCATTGCTTCGCATTTTGGTTTGACTTTGCATCATTTCCTTTTTCTTGGCCATCCTCAATTTCCTTTCTATCTCATATCTAGTCTTTAGGACTTCTCTTTTCTCGGATCGAGCAAACAGTTCCATTTCTCTTTCCTTTTCATTCATATTGGCCAATCTCATTTGATCCTCTTCATCACCGATCAGATTTTCATCATAACCATCATTAAAACCTTCGGAATCTTCATCATCGTCCTCATCCTCAACTTCTCCTTCCTCTTTTTCTTCTTCTTCTTCTTTGGGAATTTTTTTAACTCGCTGCTTAGGCTTACTCTTGGCATGACCTGGAATAAAAAAGAAACAACAAGAGAGGAAAAAGAAAAAAGACAAAAGAGAAAATGAGGGAAAAAATAGGAAACAAAGAAAATGCCAGGTTAGAATAAAAGGCTTGAAATGATTTATAGAAACAAATAGAGTCAACAAAATGATTTCTAAGACCAAAGGCAAAGAAAAAAGAGTAAAGAGAAATACATGTTTACAAGTATAATAGAATAGAATGGAAAAAAAATGAAGGAGAAAAAATGTCTGCCCGGTTTATCTCTTATACTCTACTTACTTTTACCATTTTCTTGCCAATCTTCGTCCTCATTTGAGCTTGAAGAGATATCGGAAGAAGCCTTTTTCCTTTTAGCCATGGTTTTAATTCACCAAAGATGAGAACAATTTATTCAAAAAATATTGAGAACAAAGGAACAATTAAAAGTAAAGGTTAATTAGGAAAATGGTGATGAATCTCCACAATCATCAACAAAACAAAAATTCTCAATTGAAGCTAAAGTTTCACCGAAAGAAAAAAAGATGGCGCTGATTGTGTAGAATAAAAAGTAATCGATATAATCGAATCGATACTATCGAAGAATAAAAAAATTCTCATTAAAATTTAATTTTCTTTTTGATCAATTTAATTTTTCTTCAATTCCTTAAATCTATTCACTGATTTTACCCTTTAAATCATTTGTGTCTAATTGGCTTTTAATTAACTTGCAAAATAATTGTTCTTTTCTCTGTTTTATTTTGGTTTCTCTGTTGTTGCAACAATCTTCTAGCGCCTCTATCATTGTGAAAGTAAATCAAGTTCAAAGTGTTGATCATTTTTTCGTGTTTGTTTACAATTTTATTTAGTCTTTTACTTGTCTCTTCTTGTTACTCATTATTTTTCTTCTTTGACGTTTTCTTTTTTTCTTCTTCTTCTCTTTCTCTTAAATTTGTTACCTTTTACTCTTTCAATAGATTTATATTTAAAAAAGCAAAAATGAGTGGTACATCTGTAACTATTACTGCGGTAACTTCTGGTCAAATGCCACCACCTTCGGCTACTCCTTTCCACAATAATAACAATGATTCGCCTGTTACAATCACTCCAGTTTTCACAAGTATTACCTCTGTAAATTCAGCTTCTACCAATTCATCTACATCTTCTAGTAGTGTCAACAATGACATGAAAAATGGTACCAATTCCAGTAACAATACTACAACAACCATCACTCCAAGTGATGATGTCGGTGGTGGTAAAGATTCATCAAATGTTGTGGTCCTTAATAAACAGCGATTACAAGAATTGGTTAATGAGATCGATCCTAGAGAACAACTAGACGAAGAAGTTGAAGACCTTTTGCTCAATATAGCTGATGATTTTGTAGATAATGTGGTTACCAATGCTTGTAAATTAGCTAAACACCGAGGATCTAAAACTCTGGAAGTGAAAGATGTTCAATTAACTCTTGAAAAAGATTGGAACCTTTTCATTCCTGGATTTGGTTCTCTACCTTTGGCCAATGAATTTAAACAATTGTACAAAAAATCTCCAGCCATAGAAGCTCATAAACAACGATTAGCTTTAATTAAGAAAACGCTAAAAAAACTTTAACATCTTATACATAAGACACACACACACACAACAACTCCCTTAATCACATCAATTTCTGCATCATCTCTATAATATAAATTTGAAAGAAGAAACCCAAATAATTCTTATTGTTGCTGATCTGCCTTTTTATCATGTAACTAAATCAGCTGACAATTTAAATCAGAAAGGAAACAAAATCAACTCTCTAAACGAAAAGAGGACTGAAATTATTATCTCCGTTTTGTATCATTTCAGTCTTGTTACTAATTAATTCATTAACCAAAACAAAATCAATAAACCAAACCTAATTGACAATTAATCTCATTGAAAAATGTTTCTTATTAGAAATCTACAATCATTTACATAAATAAGAAAAAAAAGAAAAATTCGAATAGAAAAAAAATCGAAAACTAAACAGGACAATGAATAGAAAAATGATTAAAAGTGTATAACTGAGATGAGCGTTTGTGATTAATTACGAATGTGCATAAAGAATTAAATACAAGAAAATTAATCATAACAAATACGAATAATTATAAGTAATAATTGTATTTATATATGTGTGTTCATTGTCTAGTTAATTGAGATTGGAATTAGAGGAAAGTGAGAGAGAGAGAGAAAGATAAACATGATCAATGTTTGTGTTTGGCTGAAGATTATTGATTAACTCTGTTCATCTTGTTGGGATTCTTGTTGTTGATTGTCTTTGATCTCGAACAGATCAACAACACCTTCGCCTTTGTCCAGATTGAAACAATAGTCTCTTCCTGATGGCGGTGGACTCAATTTCACCAGCGGTTGTAATACATCAGGTATGATTTCTTGATACTCAAGAGGAGTTTTGATTCGTCGTCGAGTTGCCGTCGGTGTTTTATTAATATTAACAGGAATATTTTCGGTGTCTTGACTTTTGGCTGTTTCGTCGTTTTCGGTTTCGGTTTCAATTGGAGTAATTGTTGTACTTTGTCTGCCTCGACTTCGAGTTCTGGTGGTCAATTTTTCTAACGGTTCTTTTAGCTTTTCTTTTTCTTTGATTTTCTCTTTGGTGGTTTCTTTAGAAGGAGATATTGTAGTTCTTTTCTCTTTCTCTTTTTCCTTTTCTTTTTCTTTTTCTTTACCTCGACCTCTTAGAGATATTTTTCTCACAGGTGAGGCTTCTTTCTTTTGAACGGCAACTTTTTTACCCTTTTTATTTGTTTCTCTTCTGGAAGAGATGAAAAGGTGACGTTGGGCAGCTTTACGTGGAGATAATTGTCGAACGGGCTGTGATCGGGTATTGTGAATTCTTTCCTCCTCTTCCGGTAAGTCTTCCTCCATTGATTCTTCTTCATCATTTTGATCAACTGGATCATCTTCGGCTTGATCATCTCCTTCTTCTAATTCTTCCTCTTCTTCTTCTTCTTCATCTCCTTCAGGTTCCTCTGGTTCATCTTCTTCATTTGCCTCTAATTCTTCATCTGCATTTCTATCGCTCTCTATGAATTCCATTTCATCTTCAGCTTCTTCATTTGATGATCCAGGAAGATTTACAATTTCTCGATTTGATAAAGATATTTCTTGAGGTTCTTGAGTTTCCGAATACTTGTTAACGAGAGAAACTTCAATAGGTCCATTTTTAGATTTCAAATGTAATTTAGCTTTTTTAGGTTCACCAGATTGTCGAGATGCATCAGGAAGATGTACCTCCAACTGTGTACCAACAGGTCCTTGTACTAATAGTAAAGTGTCACCAGAAAACGCATCACAAAGATCATGATGTTTAACCCAAGAATAAACTTTATTACTTGTATCATCCATAATATTGAAGATAGACTGTTTCGCCCAAGAGAAATGTTGATCTAATTCCATTTCCTTATTCTCAAGTTCAATGAGCTCCTCTTTAAGCGCTAAAAGTTGATCAGTAATTTCTCGTGTATTACAACCAGGACCAGCTCCAAGCCATTGAATCGAATTCTTAGACTTTTTCTCTATAAGTCCAATACCTTCTAAAACGTTAGTTATATCATAAATACGACGTTTCTGTCTCACAGCCAAAGTATCAGCCGCCTGTAAACAAGAAAAAAAAGAAGAGAACAATCAAAATGAAAAAAAAACAACCAACATACACACACAGTAAACAAGAACGGAGCAACACAGAGACACACCAAACAACCCAATTGATAGATGACATTTAAATTAAACTTCAACACCAATTAGGCTGAGAAAAAACTGCGATTAATCAACGTACCATTTTTAAATCTAAGATTCCATCCTTGGCGTCTTGTAAAAGTGATACAAATCGTGTGGTTAAAAGACCTAAGCTTTTTTCATGCCGAGTTCCAATCTCATTAACAAAGCTATTAAGGTCAGACATGATCAACGATTAATTTGAACAACTAAATAAAGATAACTAGAGAAAAAAATTAATTTTCCAAACAATCAAAATAATAATAAATATAAGGCAAGAAAAGTAAAAAACAAAATTGACTAAATGTGAAAACAAAATCAAATTTGTCAACATGAATTCAATCAAACGGTTTAATGGGCGTGGCTTCGGTTTTCGATATATCGATTGTTTCGATCGATTGTTCTTTCTCTCAATTTTTTTTTCTGTTTTCAATTTCTGTTGATTTTTGTTGATTGTTGCTGATGTGTCTTGATGAACAGATTAAGTAAATTGTTTAATCGTTTTCTATTTTTAAATAAACAATTTAAGATAATGAGTGAATCATCTGCGTCCAGTAATTTGCCTTCAGGTGAATTTAAGGTTAATAAAGAAGAGTTGAAAAGTCGACTAAGTGAAATTCAATATAGAGTAACTCAGGAAAAAGATACTGAGTTACCTTTTTCTGGTGAATATTTGAAATTAAAAGAAAATGGTAATTATCATTGTCTAGTTTGTGATGCTGATCTTTTCCCTTCAAGTACTAAATATGATTCAGGTTGTGGTTGGCCGGCGTTTTTTGATGTCAATAAGTTTGCTGTTAAATTGACACCAGATAATTCACTTGGTATGAAAAGGATTGAGGTTACCTGTTCAAAATGTGATTCTCATCTTGGTCATTTGTTTAATGATGGACCTAAACCGACATCTCAACGTTATTGTATTAATTCAGCTTCATTGAAGTTTAAGAAAAAGTGATTAACCAGAACAAAAAAAGGGAAAACAAAAAGAATGGAAAACAATCTTATCGGCAATATTTTCCTTCATCATTTTAAAAAGTTTCAAATCCAAATTCATCGACTCAATCGATTGGCAATCAAATTAAAATAAACAAAAATCGCTCACTTTTGGCCTGATATAATCAATTTAGATCCAGTTTACCTGTTATTTTGCCTAGTTGATATCTAATTGTTCAATTGGATGAACGTTGATTGCAATTGATTGTAACCAAATGCAATAAAATTGATAATAACGAAAAACAAAACTTTTTTGTCGTTCCATCAACTCTTTGTGGTCAAAATTAAATTTGATCATAACAATCAACTGATGAGAACTGTAATCAAATTAGGATGAGAATCTCCCATTCACCAGATTAATCTTGATGAGTAAATTAACAATTAACCGATGTTAATTGTAACAATTTAGTCTAAATCTCTTTTTTTTCATTGAGATGCAAAAATAACAACTGAATTAGATTTGAAAGAAACACAAAATAATTAAGTTAATTATTTTAATAATTAACGTGATGTTGACATAACACATATCAGAAAAATTGAAACAATCAGATGAGAAATTAAGTTAATCATAACAAATCAGATTAACTGTTAATTGTTTAACGGAAAATTGTTGATTTAGTTTGTTGATTTTGCTTCCTCCAAGTTTCCCTTTAATTGTTTTCATTTAACAAATTAAATTGTTCATCCTTTTTGATTGTTGCTGCTGTTGATCGTAATCATGATTAAGGTGAACGACAAAAGTGAAATTAAAAAAGTTAAACAATTAATTGATTAACCAACGATTATAATTACGATCAATGGTGACTTGAAAGACGAGATGAACAAAAATAATTACAATTGAGAGTTAAAAGTTTTGGGCAATTTAAGGCAATTAAATCAACTCAATTAATGTCTTTCAGATTCAATAATTAGTTATTACAAGTTTCTTATATAACAATTAGTTAATTATTGGTAATGATTAAAGTATTGATTGTGATAATAATAACAAAATCATAATTGTATTTGTTTTTTTTTCAGAGTCAACAATTGAAAAAGAGATAAAAATTTAAGGTAATTTAAATTAGTTGATCACTTTGATGATTTCCATTGATTAACTTAATTGTTAATCAATTAACACTCGACAAACATTTACAAATATATTTCTTTTTTTTTGATTGATTAACTTTCAATTGTTTCCATAATGTTATTACCATTACAATTAGTACAAATCATTGACAATAAAAAGGAGTTAACACAATTTTCTTAATCATTGATTCACATTTCAATTAATTAAATTGTTTGTATATAATTAATTATATATATTAATAAAATTTTCTCTTCCTTTTTGATTAACAATATATAGTTTACTCTTTGATGATTATGATTATGATGATAATGATAATTGGTTGATGATTAAACTTTTATCCTGATTTTCAGAGGGTTAATTTATCTCACTTTCTCACTCCAAAAGTTTCGTTGTAATTAACTAATTGTTTCAAATTTTCTCAATCATAAGAAAGGTGAATTGGCGTTTAAAATTTCACTTAAAAAATTTGAATCAGGACTGATTATCGGCCCGGACAGATCTCTTGATAATAATGGATTAATTGAGTTAATAACAGAGTTTGAAGTTGATTGATTGTTGATTGTTGGTGATGAATTAACAAAATGCTCATTGATCAGAATCTTTTTGTAAGGTTTAGCATTGAACATATCAGATTTGTTCAATTTAATATTGTTTATTGTCGCTGTTGTTGTTGATGATGAGGAGGGTGATGAAGATGAACGATTTCCTTGATGATGATTGTTATTATAATGATTATTGTGATGACCATGATGATTTTCATCGTGATTCAAATATTTAATTGAAACACTTTGGACATTATCATCATCTTCCCCGGACACTAATCGTTTACGGTGAAATGTAACATCAATTGGATTCGAAGTGGTGTTGATAGAACCTTCACTTTCCTCCTTGTCCATCAACACTCCACCGCCTCTTGACCGTCTCTCTTTTCGGTTACGACGACCAGCAGATTTATTATTGGTCAAGTTGGGAGTCGACGAATGGACAATATCCTCAGAATTGTGACCTGATTTGAAAAAGAAAACAAAATTTAATTACTTTAATCAAATTATCTAAATTAAGTTGGGGAAAAAAATCTCAACATCAATGATTAGATCAAAGATATTGGTAACTTTTTGACTGATTAAGTTATGAATTTTTAATGATAATCGAATGATCAATAATTGATTAATCGTGTTTTCTATCATTAATAATTAATTCAACACCTTCACGAGCACAATCCTAATCGTTACACACAAAGTTTTCAGTTATAATTACAGCCACGATCATTACCTTTAGCTATTGATGCGGTCGTGGTGGTTGATATTGTTGTTGTTGTTACTCCACCTTCATGATCATCATGATTACCATCGTTTCCTCCTCCTCCTTTATCATTAGTTTGACTAATCTTGGACATCATTTCAGCAAGTCGACATCTAACTGGACCAACATTTTCCTTGACCACGACAACATTGGCCTTTTCATCAATCGTCGGTAAACAATAGGTACATTTACCACACCTTGCCGGAGGTGGTGGTGGTGTTGCTGGTGATCCCATTACGGTAACATTATCATCTCCATCTCCATTTGAATCTTTAATGATATGACTAACACCTACATAAGGTCCAGACAAAAGTAATTCAGGTGAGGTTAAACTGTAATCACCTGAATAGAGATCATTAAGATCATCATCACTTCCCCGGCGAATAATTAAATTATCATGATTAAAAGGTCGAGTTAAATCTCGCCTAAAATTTATCGATGTAGTTAAAGAAGAAATTGCTGTTGATGGTGCAATTAAATCGTAATCATCTTTACGCCGATGACTCCAAGGATAACGTGGACCTAATGAGGCATGTGATAGACTTAAGTGACCACTGCCAGGTAAGAAAGACGATCGAGAATTGGAAGTAAAATTACCAAGTAGACCGGAAGAAGAGAGATCAGACCGACGTCCAGAGGTGGTTAAACATAAAGGTTCCGTTAAAAGATGACCACCACCACCACCAAGAACAGTTGATGAATGATGACCACCATAAAGTGAAGATGAATGATATTGCTGATTTTGATGTGAATGATGAAGAGGATGATGATGATTATGATGAGATTGATATTGAGGATGATGTTTATCTTTGATGCGATTATTATTTCCGCTCAGACTGGTTGAAAGTGGAATGCTTTCCCCTGGATGAGTCGATCCATTATTGTTGTTTATCAAGTTTCCTGGTGTCGTTGTTGTGGTTGTTACTTGGGTTGATGAAGATAAAGTTGATGTGAATGATGATGACGATGATGATGATGATGATAATGTTGACGTTTCATTTTTGGGTTTCCTTTTACGTTGAGGAAAGGGTAACGGTGGTGGTGATATTGTTGTATCACAGCCATTTGATTCAATTCGCTCAGAAAGACCTGATTGATTGTTGGAAGATTTTCCGGTTCTTCCTTCACCTTCACCACCACCACATTCCCCACCATGTAATAATCTGATAGCTTCTTTACTCTCTCCTGTTTCTCCTCCAAAACCTCCTCCGACCCCTTTCTCACCACCACAACCTCCAATGGATCCACTACTTGTACTAAGATTGTTATTACATTCAGAATTCACTCCACCCTCAGATTCACCATCACCTCCGCCTCCTCCTCTCTCAGAACCATCGCCGATATCGTTAGTGCCCAAAGAAGATCCAGAAGAATCGGAAAACTTTGGAGCATAATATTTATCGATTGCAAGTCTTGTCTCTGAATCGAGTATGAACTTTTCCAGGCAAATCTTTAACCAACAAGCTTTACACCGATTAACTGAAACTCCTCTGGGTTCTTGTTCACCTGACGGTTTCCCTATTGTACAATGACCTAAAGAAACGGATGATAAGGAAGATAAAAAGCAAGATTAGAACGTTGAAAAATATAAATTATCCAACAATTAGGATTTATCTTCATTGATGATAAGGAAACTGTTGATTTCATGGTAATCATGATAAACCCTAATAAGAGAGACAAGTTAAACAGGTTGGTAGGGAAATGAGATGATCAAGATGAGAAAGTTGATTAAATTATTATCATCAACATGATTAAGTTAACAAGTAATTGATTGTTTTCAATTCAATTCAATCATTAAATCAATTTTTATGATTAACATTAACATTAACATTTCCAATTGATATGATTAAGTGTAAAGAAAATGAAAAGGTAAAAATTATTCATGATAACCAATAATCATCATCACCGATAATCAAACAGTAATTAAGGCTTGATTAACAATAAACTAGTAATGATAACGGTTTAATAGTTAAATCAAACAGATTGATTCAATTCAATTCAATTAACACGGAATCAAAGTTTCCGCAGTTAGACATGATCATCATTTTAATTATATGATGATTTTAATCATTTGAATGAGAAAAAAATAGAGAAAAAGTAAAATCTTAATAGCGTGAGTTTAAATATGAATAATACCAAGCAATTAATTGATTGAATCAAATTTAATCAGGACAAGAGAGATAGAGAGAGAGAGAGAGAGAGAGAGAGAGAGAGAGAGAGAGAGAGAGAGAGAGAGACTAATGAAGATGAGGATGTGACAAAGTGATGATGCTGATGATGATTATCAAGATGATGAAAACTGATTAAGGAAATGATGATTAGGACATCAAGATTAATTTGTTTGACCTTAAAAAAAAGTTTCAAACTAATTGTAAACAAAATGATTACTATAAATATAATTAGATTAACTCATTGAATAGATTGAAAAAAAACACAAAGTGTTGACTATTGAAATTAAGGTTATCAGGTAACAATTAATCAAAACAGTAATAATAATGAGGTAAGATAATAATAACCCGTAGACAAGTGAAACAAATGATTAACTAATCCAGACAATCAGCAGTTAACAGTAATTAACATGAAAACCTTCATAAGCCAGATTTTGATTAATCATAACTGTTTAGATTAAATTGTCAAGCAACAATTTAACTTTTGTCAAGTGAAAAGTGATTTCTAAATTAACCCAATCCAATTGAAAGAAGTAAAAAAAACAAAAATGTAAATCAAGTGACAGAAAAAAAAAGTTACAAATATAATTAGTTAATTAAAGATGATTAATAAATCACTGTGGCTTATGTTGTCAATTAGATTATCATTCAAAGTGTCAAACAAAAAGATATGGATGAGAAGATGAGGAAAATATGAAGATGAAGATGAAGATGATGAATTAAGGAGAGATGAAGATGGAGAGTAAAAAAAAGTGATGATGTCAATTGAAACTAATTGATAAACAGTCAAGTTGTAAAACTAAGACCAAACTGCTGACTAAAAGTGATTAGCATGGTAATTTAATGTTAATCAGTAAATTGTTTAAGCTTTTAAATTGTGTTGGTGACAAAGTAAAAGGTGCTGATTGTTTATGATGAAATAAATTGTTACCTGGCTCGACCTTTAATTTAGATAGTTAATAATTAACACACCCTTTCTGTAGTTAATTATCATTACTATTGATTAATGAAAATAAAGTGATTAACTTTTAGTTTTTTTCTCAATAATAATAACAATTAAAAGGGTAAAAAAAAGTATCAAGGAAATGAATCAAAAAGCTAAGATGAATTGAAGTAAAAAATGAAACATCAACAGATGAAACATCGTTCTTATTGATTGTTAACTATCAACAATTTGAGGAAAATAATCAATTGTTGACATGACAACAGGTTAACAATTGAATGAGTACTGATAATCGACAGAATTGAATATTTAACATTCGAAAGAGTTAATTCTTACAATTAGAACAGGTGAAAGTAGGTAAACCGATGAGAGACCGATTTCATCTTCATCATCATCATGTATTTTTCATCAGTTGAGCTTCAAGCTGATGATTTATTAATGTAAATCAATGTAATTATTATTTTCTGTCATGAAAACAATCAATTCTTAGCATTGATCGAGAAGAAAATGATAAATATTAACAGAATTGTTTAGTCTATCAATCTAATGAATTAGTGGGTATGGAAAATTGTAGCCTTTTAATTGTGATAAGATAATCGTTTCAATGATAATTAATGATGAGATTAACATGATAAGTTTACCATGAAAATCAGAGTGAATCTTAAAGAAAAAAAATTTATAGATAATATTAATGATAGAGAGAAATCATTGATAAGGTTAATTCTTGCTCTTTGTTTTAATGACTAATTAAGATGATGAGGATGATAATGAAGACAGAGAAGAAGCTTGAAAAGAAAGGGATGAAAAGTGGGTGGATGATGAGGGAGCGATAAAATGATAAAGATCAAGTTGAATTGCGTGAGTTTTTCAAGATTGATTCAGTCGATATGAGATTTAGGCCGATTAATTTAATTGTAGACAGCTAAACTAACCAAAATATAATCAACAAGACATAACAATTAAATGCTCTGTCTGTGCAAGTTAACAACAATTAACAACATCAATTGACAACAATAAGCAGACAAATACTACACAAAATACAAATACAATGTATTCAATAAAAAGACATCAAGTTTAAATTGCTGATGATGATTAAACTAAATATTTTAACCATCAACAGTAATCAATGAGATTCAATTGACAAATTTTCTGATTGTTTCAAATCAATACACAAACACAAAGTCAAAGTGATTAAAAAACAAACTAACACAAGCAAAGCAAAATGATTCAATTAGTTGATAGTGTGAACAATTAATTGTTGTTCAAGTAAGGTAAACAACAACAATTGATTAATAATCACCATTAAGTAACTAATCATGGTTAGATAATTAAACATTCTGATTAGAGTCTAGAATAGTAAAAAGAAAAGCATAAGCAAGGTTAATGTTAATTTAGTTTCAGGCCTTTTGTTATTGATTAATAATAATGATAAAATAAGAGACATAACAATTAAGGTTATTGATTGAAGATAACAATCAAATCAAGCAAATTAATTAAAAACTTTCATTAAAAGGAAATAAACAAAAGCAAAAACAACAACAACAAAAGTATAACTGATAATCAAGCTAATTGTCAATGAGTAATTTTCTTTCGTAAATTGAACAATTTAAGAATAAGGAGATTGAGTAATTAACATGATTAAGATCATAATAAATTACCATTTAGAGGTAGAAACAATTAACACAGAAAACAAGCAATTAATTCAGGATGAAATATATTGTGTATTGATTAATCAAGTATGCATATAACATAAACCCCTTGGAGGTGATGTAAACAATTAAATATTATGTATTAATATTTGATGAATACCTGTAATAATAATGATATATAAATATCTTATAATAACAAGTACGCTTGTAAATTGTTAGTTGCGTGCTAATGTAATTTAACTGTAATCCTTTGCTTACGGCGAGAGCATGGATTTGATTAGTGAATGAAAACTAAATCAAGAACGAATTAAGAATTAAAAAGAAATGAAAAGAATCATCATCAAGTTAATGATGAAGGTGAGGTAAGAACGCAGTTGATTGAGTAAAATAGAAAAGAAGAAGAAGAAGAAAAATTAAAAAAGTTCTAATCATTTTGAATGAGCCTTGATCGCTTGGAGGCAATCAAACTGAACGAATCAGAAAATCATGTTAAATAGAAAAAGATTAAGAAAAAGAAAAAGGTGAATGAAGGGTAAAGATGTTGGTGTTTATAAGAATCTCATCATCATCATCATATTACGTTGATTTTGATATGATTACAGTGGTAATTTAGTTACGTTAATTTCAATTGTCAAGGAAGATCATTAATGTTGATAGGAATGAAATGTTTCAGGAAGGGGAAATCATTAGGAAAGACTCATGATATTTTCGTAATGTTAACTGTAAATGATAATGATGATGAGTAGGTTTTTTTTATATATATAAGGAGCATCTTATATTAATCTAAATGATAAATTTAAATTGGAAGATTTGAAAATTAAGAAGAAAAATAAAATAATAAGAAAATTAGAACACAGAATAATGATAATCAGAAACCTGATCCGATAACAAGGTGCATCAAGGAATAGTAATTATTTATATGAAGATGTTGGATGATGATTGGAAGGGAATGATTAAGATGAAGATGAGGATGAAGATGAAAAAAAGTATATAAAATGTTTCGCAAAAACCTGGAAGCCAACATTTTATTTTTCTTTCGTCTTGCAAAAAGATTGATGTAAAAATAGGGAAATGGCGAAAAGTGAGCATGAGGAAAAAAATTAGGATGATAAGGATAATCATGATGATAATGATGCTCATGGCATTAGGTATTTGAAGATAGAGAGAGAGAGGGAGAGATGGATGATATTCGTGTGAGAGAGAGAAATCGAAGTGATAAATGAGGGGATTGCGAAAAACTAGGAAGCTCAAGATTGATAAAATAACATGGAAATGATGAGAATGTTACATATTAGGTAGATGGAAATAGAGAAAAGTGAGTGTATGTGAGAGAGTAAATGTTATTTATATAACATGGTGATGATGGAAAAAGTTTCAAGGTGAAATTAAAAAGTAACCAAGAATGTAAATAAGTGTTACATTTAAAATGAGTGAGTGAATGAATGATTTGATGATAATATTGATGGTGATGATGATAAAAAGGCTTCTCGAAAATAGTTGTCTAAAGGGAGAGAGAGAGAGAGTGAGGCAGAAAGTTTTGCATAAAAAAATTGAGGTAAATTTTACTGATTGAGTTCGTTGAAGTTTCAGCAAATTATATGTTCATTCGTATGATGATGGTGAGAAAAAAAAAGGTTAACTTGAAGTGAGAGTGAGAATAAAGAGAGAAAAGATAAGGTAAAAAAAGATGAGCCAAAAAAGATGAAGGTGAAGACAAGAAAGACAAAGAAGAGAGAGAAAGAGAGAGAGAGAGAGAGAGTGAGACGGAAAAAAGGATGAAAAGGATGAAAAGGCTCAGCAGACTTGAGAAAAAGTATGTTGTTGTTTTTATTGTGGAAAAGAATCAAGAACGATTTCAAGAATCATCTTCATGAAGAACATGATGATGAAATAGAGGGAAAAGGTTAGTTAGAAGAAGAAAGATGTCTGGATGATGAAGAGCCGGTAAAGTAAAAAGAAATAGAGAGAAGAATATTGAAAAGAAGGTAAGAAAAGGTGAGAATGGCGAGTTTTGATTCGAATTTTATGTTAATGAGATCATCATTCTCTCTCCCTCACTCATTTACTAACAAGTGAGAGACGAAAAACTGATGATGAAAATAGGTAAACCTTTTGTTTCTAAAGCAAATGAGTCTTTCTACCTTGACTGATGGAAAACAAAAACAAAACCAATTGATGATCATAATAGAAAATTAAATGATGATAATTTGAAGGTGGAGGAGAGAGAAAGAGAGAGAGAGAGAGGAAAGAGGAAAAGTGCAAGGTGTTCGAATAAGTAAAATTAATGCCAACCTTTTTGTGAGCAAGTAAATATTTTTGGATCTCGAAGGAAACGCTTCATAAACTTAGAACAGGGCTCACAAGAGTATTGGCCAAAACGCCTTTGAACGTGTGAATAGTATTTCGTTGCGTTACATATTGAACAGGTAATGAAACCTGGTCGTCTGCAGCTCATACCTGATGATTGAATGAAAAAAAAAGATCCAAAATCAGGTGAATTGGGTGAAAAAAGTAATGACCATCGGGGGTTATGAGATGATTATCAATTATAATCCAAATACAGGATTGATGATGAGGATGATCCAATTGATGAGTATCAATATCAACACACACATTAAGAACGATGTTTCAAAATGATTTCATTATAATTTAAAGACACACATTCCCAAGTGATGATGATGTAAATGAGAATCCATGAGATATGATTAATTAATTAATCATTTTGTTTGGTGACAATATTTTCATTCACAATCATGATCATTTTGTTGTTTATATCCAATGGTTGATGATGTTAAGATAAAGAAAAAAGGAAAAAGAGAAAAGAAAAAGAAAAAGAAAAAGTTAATGATTAATGTTTTTCTAATTAAAGGTAATTAACAATTTAAAAACATTGTTACTGATTAGACATAATTGTTGGTAGACAAGGTAATTAACAAAATTTTTAAAATTAGAATTTAAAAGTAACCGGTATTATCATTAACATGATATCATGAGAATATATCAAAAAGAGATTAAATTACCAAGTAGATAATTTCAATCAGATTAATGGAAAGTTAATTGTAATTGATTCAATTAGGAACAGATAAAGAGAGAGAGAGAAAGTTCAATGATGTGATGATCATCAGGATCATTTGATGGAAAAGAGTATCAAACAAAAAAAAAACTATCGGAAACGCGTATTAGGAGTGAAAGGTAACAACAAAATTAGCGATATTAAATCACAACAATCAAATAATATCTTATAAAAGTAAATATATTTTCAATTGGAGTTACATATGAGTTGATCGATTATGATCATCATTGAGATTATTGTGTAAGAAAAAGTGTCATGGATATAAACTCATTGGATGATGATAATATTTTCAAGTGCAAAGTGATAATTATCATTAAGAATTGGTAACGCAGAGAGGAGGAAGAGGTAGAGAGCGGTGGTAGTGGTGGTGGTGGAAGACACGAGACGAAAAAAGGCCTTTGAAAGAAAGATAAAGATGAAAAAATAAGAAGATAGAGATCGAGATGAGAGAGAGAGAGAGAGATTAACCAGTAAAAGAATTAATTAATTGAATGGATTAAATAGTAATAATATGTGCTGTTGGCTGATTAAGATAATCATTATCATCATCATCTTTTAGTTTCATCTAAAGCGAGAAAAAAAGTACATGATGACCTGGTTTTCTTGGTGAGCACTCACACACACACTCTTACATATACAGAAAGTATTAAAACCTGAGTCCTGCAAGTAGATTGGGTTAAGTTACTATGCAGCGTGAACCGTAGTTATTAGATTTAATTGTAGAGTGAAACAAATATAACTCTGTGAGAAGTACCTTGGAAACAGGAGAAAAGGAGTCATTAGGATGGTAGAAAGAGCAAGAGCGAGAGAGAGAGAGCGAGAGCGAGAGATGGAGAAATAGAAAAGGAAAATCAGAAGAAAATCAGCGAAAAATAGGACAATGATTAGTATATATATCTGATGTTTGAGAGGTCAATCAATTTCAATGGGTTCACCACCTTTTGTTTGTCCACTTGTTGATGAACCTACGGTAGTTGATTTATTACCGAGAGAAAAATCTTGTAGTTTAAGTTGCTGTTGTTGTTGTTGTTGTTGTTGTTGTTGTTGATATTGTAAATATTTTTGGTGTTGTTGTTGGTGGTGGTAATGTTGTTGATTTAAATGTTGTAATTGTTGTAGTTGTAGTTGATGCTGGTGGTGTGTGTATGGGTGATGTTGGTGTGGTTGTGTAAACGGTTCTTGCTGATTTTTTACTAAGGACAATGGTTTACAATTATTTATTGATGAAGATGATGAACTAGTTGCACTTGGTGTTGCCCTTAAAGTAAAAGGAAAGTGGTTATGTTTGGACTGAAGGCTAAAACTATTTAAACGATTGTTAGTTAATTGGTTGAAAGCACTTGTTGCTGGTATGGTTGCTACTAAATCTTTAGTAACAATTTTCTGATTAAATTGTTGATGTTGACGGTGTTCATTATTATGCTGGTGGTGATGTTGACTTTGATAATCTGATTTGATTCTTTCTTCATTTTGATTATTGTTTGGTAGACTTGAGATTTTCCGTTTCTTTAACGGAATTGAACAGGGAATGAAAGATAAATCCAAGGCTTCTGAGCCACTTTCATCAGGTTTACTTGCTGCTCCTTTAATTTTCTCATCGTTATTTGTATCATTCAAATGACCAGGTTGTTGTTTAGTGTTAACATCATCATCATCAACAGCCATTGACATGTTACTTGTATCATCTTCATCTTCATCTACCTCATAGAAATCTTCTTCAACGATTATTCGACTCTCTATGTTAATCGCTTTGATCGATTTGTTTAATTGTTTCGTTACTTGGCCTTTATCATCTTCTATTTCTTCCTCAATGACAATTTTTCCACCGGTGGATCCTTTCGACATTAGAATTTTACCAAAACACCAAAATGAATTAGTCTTCCAAAGCTAAGCTTTCGTTTTCCCAAATTATTCCAAAACAATTAATATTTATAAACAACAATGATCTCTCTTTGTAAGAGTAAATAGATCAAATTGTATCAATAGGACAAAAAAGGGTAGATCACAATAAAAAGGATTCAACAGGTAAAATCTTTTTGAAAGATTTGTAGCAGAGAGAATCCAAAATGGCTGAACAAGTTTCTCTGGATTATATCCCAAAAATTATGGAGAAACGAATATTAATATTATTCGGTGAAAGACAATTTCTTTAATGGATGAAAAGGAGATCAATGGTATCACTTTCTTGCCTTCTTTGGTAAATCAGGAATAATTTAAAGTCATGGAAAATAAAAGAGAGAAAAAAAATCACAATTAAATTAAATAACAATATAAAGAGATAATAATTGATAAACAAGAATAGGTATTGATTGTAATTGGGAGAAAAGGTGATGATTATGATTTGAGATTGATTAGTATTGAGATTCTAATTGTGATTGTTGGCTATGAAACAAGAATGGACATACAGTCACACACACATAGTATCAACAATCCAAATGAAATTTGGGTCAATATGCCAATGAGAGGAGAACAACAAAAAATGTGTAATGACTGTTACACTTATTGCTAATCAAGTTAGTTGGGATATATAAGCAAAAAAGAAATAAACAAATCACAAGGATGCTAATCAACTGTGAAAAAGCAAGGTTAACATTGAATTAGGGCCAAGACTTAGAGAAAAGGAAAACACAAAGAAAAAAAGGAAGATATGTAAAGTGGGAGAGAGAGAATAGATGAAACAAAATTATGAGAAGGAAGAGAGAGGAGAAACGAAGAGATAGAGAGAAGAGATTAAAGAAAATGGGTAAAGCGAACAAGGGAAGAAACAGATGATACCATGAGAGAAAGAAAAAGCTGAGAGAGAAGAAGAAGATGATACAATTTAGAAAATACAATGGTAATGAAGATGAAGAAGATCGAGAAGATAATATTTGCTTGGCAAGGTAAATGATAGAATGATAATCATCAAGAAGGGAAAAAAAGGATGAATAAGATATTAAAAGAGAGAAAAGGGAGATGGAGAGAGAGAGATTACAGAAACCTGAGAGAAAAAAGAATGGAAATTGATAAAATATTAAACATGGAAAGAGATTAAAAAACAACATAGACAAAGGATTAGATGAGTTTCTTAATAAGAATAATATTTCATCTCTGAATAGAGTCGATGATGATGATGATTAGATTATAAGAGATGATTGGTAGCGCCCTGATATTAAAACATTAATCAGAACGAAATTGAAATGATGGAATCGCCTCATCTAGAGCTCTTTGTATTCAGTGAGAGAGACTCAATTCACTGATTGTTTTTGTTTTCTATTGAGTAAGAGGGAATTTAAATCATGGAATAAGGTAAATGGAATAGATTTAAAAGGAAGAAGGAAAAGGAAAGGAAGGGAAGGGAAAAAAGAAAATGAAGATTTAAATTCTTACCTGTATTTTTAGTTAATTAGAATAATTTTTTGCTTCTTCTTCTCTAGTCACATTAATTGAGAATATCACTTAGAATTAATCACAGCTACGGTTTTATATTAAAATTGTTCCATCGTCTAATTGACTTGAATGGGATCTTGGCCACTTGATGATGTTTGACTTGCCAGAGTTCACCCTTGTTGGTAATTGAGTGATGAAGATGATGATGATGATGCCAGATTAAGGGATCTTCTTTTCGTCTTCCCATCAACACTTTGGCTTTTGTTTTGATTTTGATTTTTCTCTTCAATATTAGTTGGTGAATTTGGGGATTTTCAAGGAGCAGAATATGACCAGGGACCAATGTGTGTGTGGATTTTTACTTCATCAGATTGTTTACTTTTAGCGATTGTTTGGTGTAGAGGAAAAAGTGCCGATGTGGATGGTTTTTGTTTCTATGGGATGGATATTAGTTTTTTTTCTCTTATTCTTTTCTCTTGATGAAAGTAGTCGCGATAAAAGAGAAAGACAAGAGAGACAAGGAAAGAGATAGAGAATCACCACACAAATCACCTCACAAGTTGAAGAAAACACAATTATGAGAGTTGAAAATGATCATTGAGATTGTGTAACTAATTTAATATCACCGAGATTATTAATATGTAAGAAAATTATTTCTTTTTCTTCTGATTTTACAATAGGTGAAGAAAAGGGGAAATTGAAAAGAACAGAAATGAAGATAGAAAAGAAATAAGCAGAAGATGTAGACAGACGAAAGGATAGAGAGAGAGAGAGAGATATTGGGAAAAGAAAGAGTAAATTAAAGGATAGAAAGAGAAATAAGAATAAGGAGAAAGGTAGACAAAATGGAGAAAGAGAAAGGAAAGGCCGTAATGGAGAGAAAGAGGGAAAAAAGGAGACAGATAAATTAGAACGATACTGTAGCAAAGAAGGTTGGACTACATTATTATCACAATTAACATGGAGATCATCAAGGTGATGGTCGAATAGAATAGGAAATGAGAGAGAGAGAGAGAAATCACTTTTGTTCCAACAAAGACACTAAAAACACTCTAGGAAGAATTAATTAATCCAGTAGAGAACAAATTAGAAACCAAGAAAATGGATTATCACAGAGAGAACACACCGATATGAAGAAAGGATAAAATTTCCATTAAAATGTCAGTTTTATGTCCGAATTGCCAACAAACACAACCACCAAAAAACAACAGAACAGTTAAAGGGTTGAAAAAGAATATCAGTTAATCAACATGATGATGGAGAAGAAAAACTACAACAAAATGTATTGCGAAAAAGAGAGAAGGAGAACATCATCATGAACGGAGAGAGAGAAGAAGCAGTTTTTTAAGAAGAACGAAGAAAAAAGAGAGAGAGACATTAACGAAGAGAATTGTAAACGTCAAACTGGGTTAGAGAGAAAGAGAGAGAAGACAGAAGAGAATATTGAAAAAAGAATATGAAGACAGACAGAAAAAAGAGGGAGAAAATGAAAACCAGGGAGAAAGAGAATGAAACTGAGGAGGGGGTAGAATAGTTTTGACTTCTACCAAACATCATCTCCTCCTCTCTCTCTCTCTCTTTCTCTCTCCTTCTTTCAACATAACAAAACTAACCTTCCATGTTTATGTTATGTTGGCAAAAAAAGAAGAAAAAAAAATTCTTCAATAACTTCAATTCTTTTCTCTCTTCACTCAGAGAATAGAATAAAACACACAAATCGAATTTCCCATATTCTCTGAGAGAGAGAGAGAGGAAAGAAAAACGGAACAAGTGAAACAGGAGAGAGAGAAACGAAACTCAACATCGGGCGAAAAAAAAGAAGGAATGAAAAATTATTCTAAAGAGAATAGAATAAAATGTAAAAAAGAACAAGTTAATTAACCCAAACGTCTAATATTCACTTAGAGGTAATATTAAAAACCAAACATTTCACCAAAACAGAGACAAAATCACTTACCTTTCAATTGGAAGATACAAATTAAGATGAAGATAAAGGTGAGTTAGTGAGAGAGAATAAGAAAATTAATTAAAAACAATAACAAGAATATAATTTAACCAGAAAAATATATAATCATCAACAATGAATCCTTGAGACGTATGTTTAACCGCGGATCCGCTTTGATAGCCGGTTACCGGAAAAAAGAAACAATTAATTGACTAATTGAGAAGTGGAAAATTAATTAAAGTAATTAAAATGAAAACAAAAAATGGAAAAAAATAAAAACAATTAAATTAAAGAGAAGAAAAAAAATAAACTAAATAAGGATATTCATATTTACTGTTGTCTCATCTACTCAGTTAATTTGAGTGATGATACGTTACATCATATGATCATCATGGTTACTATGGTTACGGTTTTCCCGATTAATTGTGATTTTTGTTGCTTTTTTTCATTAAATTGTTAATTTAATTTCAATTGTTAATTGTAATTAATTAATCACAATATGTTATATATGAAAACTATATACACTTGGATATGGTTTGGTTACTTTTTAACTGTAACTTGGGTTTGAGTGTTGACTTGTTGTTGTGGTTGTGATTCTGATTGTGGTTGTTTGGATTGAGAGATTGAAACAATTAACCAAAGTTGTTAAGTTGATTGTTAATATTCTCATTGTTGGTCAAGTATTTTGATTAATATGAGGCTGGAATTCTAGAGATAGTGATGATGATGAGTTGAAATTATTCCTATCTCTATGAGAAAAGTATTATCAACTTTGGTTCCGGTTAAAATATAACCTCCGGACCCAGACATATTCATCTCTGGTCGGGTTCGGCTTTCTAAAACTTGAAATCGGCGAAACCAGGTTTCAGTTATTCGCGAGTTAATTGCGAAACCTTTTAAACTTTGATAACACGATAAAAGTGGATCAATTGATAAACTGAAAACAGCAAATGGTTGAGAAGGGCCAAGAAAACGAAATAAAAACATCAACAATTCCGTTGGATCGTAGGAACGAGTAACAATTAATAAACCATCCATGTCTCGAGTTTTGATTGAATTGATTGCTTTCTCTTCTTCCCGTCTTCGATTGGCTTTTCGTCGTGATTTATCATCAATTTTTCTCTTTTTCTCTGGATTATCTGAACATTCAATTTCATCATTAACCTTATCACTTGTCATCGGTTGACTAGAATCACCATAACCACTATTTTCCATGGTCTCTTTATCATCATCAGTACCAAATTCCCATTGGTAAAGTTTTCTCAGATTAATTGATGCTAAACATTTCTCATAGGCAATGGAAGGTAAATTAAGCGCGTCAACTGATTGCCTCCAACTGGAAACTGGAGCATCATCAGTGAAAATTTGAACACATTGGCCATAATTGGTATTCTCAGGTGAATCAGTAAATAAGGAACCATTACCAACCAAACGGTCAAGAACAGCCGCTGTTAAGATTCCCATATTTGTGTCGATAACCATGAATTTGGCACCAGAACGAACATTACATTGGGTCAACATTTGAGCCATTGAATCGAATCGTAAATTGTTTATCTTCATGGGACCTTGTGAGTAGTACATTTCCGAGAGTAAACTTGGAGTTGGCTTGAGGACTCGAAATAGGTTGGAATATTTAGCTTGTTTCTTTTTTAAATATTTCTCTTGGGAGAAAACGTTTCTAGCAGCAAACGTGCCACTATTTTGAGCTAATGTCTTTATTATCTCATCACCAGTAGCTCCTTTTGTTTCATTTTCTCTATTTCATCGCGATCCAATTTTTGGGCTGACCCATCATCCATAATGGTGCGATTGTCTTTAACATCATTTTCAGAGTTTAACTCGGAAGAGGAAGAGCTTACATCTCTTAAAATGTCTCTTAATTGATGATGACTTAAATCAGCTTCTTTCAATTGACGAGTTGAACGGTCCAATTGATGGATAGAATTAAATTGATGTCCAATCAATGTTCTGAGGTTGATTCGCTCCTTTTTGAAATGTACATCACCAGATTCTTCAATTTTAAACAATCTACTGACCTTTTTCCCCAATAATAATTGCAATACAACGAAATTGCCAATTTTAATTACTTTATCAGTTAATAAATTAGCCATGATGCAAAAGGAAGAAGAAAGAAAAAAGAAGAAGGAACAAATGAGAAAATGAGGGAAAAATAGAAAACAAAGAAAAGGTTAGAATAAAAGGCTTGAAATGATTTACAGAAACACATGTTTAAATTTACAATAAAAAATGAGGGAGAAAAAATGTCTGCCCGGTTTATCTCTTATCTCTTACTTACCATTTTCTTGCAAATCTTCGTCCTCATTTGAGCTTGAAGAGATATCGGAAGAAGCCTTTTTCCTTTTAGCCATGGTTTTAATTCACCGAAAGATGAGAACAATTAATTCAAAAAATATCGAGAACAAAGTAACAATTAATAGTAAAGGTTAATTAGTAAAATGGTGATGAATCTCCACAATCATAAACAAAACAAAAATTCTCAATTGAAGCTAAAGTTTCAGTGAAAGAAAAAAAGATGGCGCTGATTGTGTAGAACAAAAAACAATCGATATAATCGAATCGATACTATCGAAGAATAAAAAAATTCTCATTAAAATTTTCTTTTTGATCAATTTAATTTATCGCCTTCAATTCCTTAAATCTATTCACTGATTCTAACTTTTAAATCTTTTGTGTCTAATTAACTTTTAATTAACACACAAATTGATTGTTCTTTTCTCTTTTTTATTTCGATTTTTCTGTTGTTGCAATAATCTTCTAGCGCCTCTATCATTGTGAAAGTAAATCAAGTTCAAAGTGTTGATCATTTTTCGTGTTTGTTTACAATTTTATTTAGTCTTTTTCTTGTCTCTTCTTGTTACTCATTATTTTTCTCTTCTTTGACGTTTTCTTTTTTTCTTCTTCTCTTTCTCTTAAATTTGTTACCTTTTACTCTTTCAATAGATTTATATTTAAAAAAGCAAAAATGAGTGGTACATCTGTAACTATTACTGCGGTAACTTCTGGTCAAATGCCACCACCTTCGGCTACTCCTTTTCACAATAATAACAATGATTCGCCTGTTACAATCACTCCAGTTTTCACAAGTATTACCTCTGTAAATTCAGCTTCTACCAATTCATCTACATCTTCCAGTAGTGTCAACAATGACATGAAAAATAGCACCAATTCCAGTAACAATACTACAACAACCATCACTCCAAGTGATGATGTGGGTGGTGGTAAAGATTCATCAAATGTCGTGGTCCTTAATAAACAGCGATTACAAGAATTGGTTAATGAAATCGATCCTAGAGAACAACTAGACGAAGAAGTTGAAGACCTTTTGCTCAATATAGCTGATGATTTTGTAGATAATGTGGTTACCAATGCTTGTAAATTAGCTAAACACCGAGGATCTAAAACTCTGGAAGTGAAAGATGTTCAATTAACTCTTGAAAAAGATTGGAACCTTTTCATTCCTGGATTTGGTTCTCTACCGTTGGCCAATGAATTTAAACAATTGTACAAAAAATCTCCAGCCATAGAAGCTCATAAACAACGATTAGCTTTAATTAAGAAAACGCTAAAAAAACTTTAACATCTTATACATAAGACACACACACACACAACTCCCTTAATCACATCAATTTCTGCATCATCTCTATAATATAAATTTGAAAAAAGAAAAGCAAATAATTCTGATTGTAGCTGATCTGCCTTTTTATCATATAACTAAATCAGCTGACAAATTTAAATCAGAAAGGAAACAAAATCAACTCTCTAAACGAAAAGAGGACTGGAATATCACTTCAACAATCTAATATTTTCGAATACTCCCTTATGATAGATTATATCATTTTCTTCATAAGCAATTGTTCTCAAGTCCATTTGATCAAATTTTTAATTGTTATGTTATCGAAGTCATTTTATATTTTTCTAATTTCAGATCATAGATTCACAGACTTTTCAAGAAAGAAATGTTTTGAAAGAAAATCTAATTGATTTTCCTGAGTATTCCGTTAATTCTATTTTGAATATCCTAAGTATTCATGTTCCATTAATCCGTGTGGATTAAGCTGTTTCGTCTGATAATGAGGAGACGATAATTGAATGAGTTAATCATCTTGAAATTCTGAACTGTTGCCCGGACGATTCCCGAGTGTCGTTAATTTCATATGTAAAACGAAAGTTTGGAAAACATTTTCATCCTTCATTTTGAATCTCACAAAATTTGACACTTTGATTTAATTTCAATTTATTAATCAATGAAAAACTCTTGCGAGTGTGTTGGTTAAATTATTATCTTAATTGTAAATGTTAATTCAACTAACAATGATCAGATTATGATTGTTATTACTTTTTACTTGCTTCTATCACCTTAACGCTTAAGGCGATCAGTTGATTTTCATATTTATTATTGTTAACAAAAAAAAGAGTAAATTTGATCCTCTCTTAATTGCAATTTAACAAAATTCACAACTAATCTAAAATTAACACTAAATTAATTCAACTTATAAATTTATCGAAGTTGAAAGAAAAGTTTTTACCATCGAACTGCCATCAAGAAGGGGAAGAAAAAAGTTCTAAAAAATTCCCCCAGTTAACTCTGAGGTTTTGTCACTTAACTGTTGAACAATTAACATGTTACTTGATCAGTTGATTAACTCACCTCATTGACTTAATCAACAATCAAGGGAATTAATTACTTCCTTAATCACTTGAAAGAAAAAAGTTGATTACAAACAAACAAAAAACTAACAATCATCTTATTCATTGAGCACCTTTTGTAAATCGCTAATTAACATCTTTGCATCTCATCAACAATTTAATCAGATTGATGAGAGGCAATCCATTAACAGAACCATCATCATCAAAGTTAATCCTAATTAACGTAATTTTTTATCAACATTTGATTCCCTCCTCTTCATCATCATTTCCCTTTCCTCTTCATCCCTCAAACATTGTATCAAATTCAATGGACCTGATGTTGTTTAACTAATCACCTTTCATTAAGCTGAATTACAAAAAGCACTGTAACAAAAACCCAACAGTAGTTAACAATTTAATTAGATTAAACAATCAACTTAAATTATGCAAAAAAAAGCTCCTCTGATTACTCAAAGGAGAAAAAAAAACTTTCGAAAAGTAAAAAAATGAACCATTCGATTTAATGTCAGTTCGATGATAGAATCGAGTTCTAATGTTCTAAATGTTCAATCGAGAACTCGAATGGTCCAACTTCGAACGGACTTTCGTATTGACCTTCGGTTGGATTTTCCTTCGTAATTTCAATTGTAACAATTAACGAGCGCAATCAAAAATTTGATTCATTGTACAATCAAAATCTTTCATTGAAATTTAGTTGATCAACTACTCCATCAAATTTAGTTAATTAGTTTAAAGATTAATCTTATTAAAATTAGAAATTAAAATTTGTCGATGATCAGAAATGATAGTCATCGACTTAATTAGTTAATTGTAAAATTAAAGGGAGTCTAAGTTAGTTAATTATAATTGGAAAAGTGAAAGGATTAACTTTGTTAATCACATTGAGACAGGGAGTGAAGAAAAGTTAATCAAAGAACCTTAATTACTGATTAAATTGTGGATTTAATTGAGTTGATTGAGATTTCAAGTGTATTATATTATTGTGACCTTGTTACACCTTGAATATAATGAAGATGATTATCTTAATCATGATAATCATTAGACGAGTGAAAATATTCATTAACAAGTTAATTAGTATCTTGACAAAAATGATCATCTTAATCAGTTAAAATGGTAACAATTAAAGTTAACAAGAATCAGATAATTAAGATGAAAATAAAAACGTGCTAAGAATCAGGAGTGACAAGTAATAACAATGAAGATGAGGATGAAGATGAAGATGAAGATGAGGAAGATAATTATGATGAAGAAACCAAATTAGTTGTAATACTCAGATTACTCCAATTAACTCATCATAATAATGAAGAGAGACACAAAACTGATGATAATGATGATGAAGATAAGGATGAGGATGAGGATGAAAAAAAATCTCCGATGAAAATGATCCCAGTGATGATCACGGATGGTTGATTGTAATGATTTAAATTAATTCAGTTACATTGTTAATGAATGATAATGATGACAAATTTCACTAATTGTTGAAGGTAAATTTGATTTTGCGTTAATTAATTCACTTTCATCTTAATTGTAACAAATTAACATTACCATCTCAATCTAATTCAATTGTAATCATTTGATAAAATATCGTAGTCAATGTGAATCTTTGTTAATTATTGATCAACTTTCAATGCAATTAACTAACATTTATAATCATTAAAACTTAATCATCATTATCTCAGTTAACTAACATTTAATGAATTAATGAATACTCAATTAGCCATCATTGATTGTAGTTAATTTTTTCATCTTAATTACATTAGAAATACAGAGGAAAAAAACTAATCATCATCAATACAATTAAGATTGGAAACAAAAAAGTTAAATCAATCAATAGGATTGAAAATATGGATTAACAATTAATTGATTGTTACCATGATGATGATTTCGTTTCATGTTTGCTTTTAATTGTGAATTGTAATTATCCCAATAGTAAATTGTGAAATGTAATAATTATCAACATTGATTGTTGACAATTTCCAGTATTTTCTTGACAATTGATTGTTACCATCACTATCATTATAAATATACCTTTAGTTTTGATGATGATTAAATTATTATTGTTACAATCAATCAGTTAATTGTTATTATGTGTTTAGTTAATTTCTAGTTGTCATTTAGTTGTTATTTTTTTCATTCATCATTTCTAACTACAAATTAAACTTAATTAACCTTCATTTCACCATTCATTCAGCAATTAAATTGTTGATCGATTGTAATTACATCTCTCTCTCTCTCTCTCTCTCTCTCTCTCTCTCTCTTGTCTTAATAATTTCAACCAGGTGGATAAACAAGTTTATCCACCTGGTACCGTCATCATCATCAACCAAATTTTTCCCTCTTTCTCTCTCCCTTCTTCCTCGCTCCCTCGTCACTATCTTCATCCTCATCCTCCATTTTTGAAAAAAAAGGCCAGTTGGCAACAACCCAAGTATAGATATACTTCAAAAATTAATAATGTAATTTCGTGTCATTTCTAAGAGTTTTTATTAAATCATTTAAATGAAAATTAATTAAGGTGTTTTGTTGAAACAATTATGGTGACCCCAGGACGTGATTTTTGTTAATCATATAACATCATATAAAATCAATGATTAGTCAATGATTATTGTGAATTTAATAATCAACTTTATGGGAATGACCCAGTAGTGCTAAGTTCATTTGAGTTCATCTTAAAATAAGTGAAAATTACTATCCATTAATTACTTGACCGTAATTTTGCTGTGTCCTCACACCCTTTAACCCTATTTAACCCTATTTATCCCATTTTATTTCTCGAGCTATTCTCCTTCTACTCAGCTTTATCTTTCTATCATT